CTTTACTATATCACAATGGAAACCATAACTCACTCTAAAAAGTGGTGGATGGTACACAACCTCTGTTTCAGGTTTGTGATTTTCATGTTGAAAGGCTGATGAAGGATTTGCGCTGAAAGGTGTCCGTTGGTGACCTGTGCGCTTATGCTCTTCCCCGATAATACAAACTTTAAAGGACATTGAGCGTGCTTTCTTTTTGAGATTGTGCACCTGAAGTTTCATTACTGTTTGAGAGAGCTCCCTTTTTGCTGTTTTGGTTTCCATGTGCCGTATGCTGGTTGAATGGCTGTTGTAAACATGATGTAAACACGGCTCTGACAACAGTACAGCAGGTGGGACTCGAGCTTCTCACTCATTGTACACAGTCATGACTCAGAGAGACATTTACAGATATACTTGATTTCTGCTGTATTTATATGTATCTTTCTGCACATTTTCCCTTTAAGCTTCAAATCTGGTGTTTTTGTTTCCTTTGTTATGATGTTAAAAAAAAAAAGTGTATATATTTGGATTTGGAATGTGTGTTTCCCACAGACTGTTTCCTGGCTTGGCTCTGGGCGCTCTGTGTTGGAGGACTGTGAGTGCACGGTCTCTGAGCCTACAGACCTGAAAACGTTGCTCCAGCACCACAAGCACCTTGGGCATTTAGAGCAACATGGTGAGTCACTTTTACACTTCTACCCTATTTCATTTTTCGACCGAACCCTTGCGACAACGACTGCTCTCCTCTTTTGTGCAGTCCCTCCTTCGAGCATGGGCGAGAGTATCCTCTCCGCCCTCTCTGCAGTGATCCCCGGCAAAGTGGCCCCACCTGCAGAGCAACCCAACCAATCAGATCCCCTGCCAGGCCTCTCTGATGACACGCACTCTGCATCATTCGTGGAAGACGTAGCAGTTGAAATAATCACAGTGACAGATTACGCAGAGGTTGAATTAAGTGCGAGCAGCGAAATAGAGGTGGTGATGGGGGATGACTGCTTTGAGGGAACAGACAGTAACTTTGTGACTGAAGATTCATTGGTAGTTCTTCAAGATGAGACGAGCAGGGAGGAAGAAGAAGAAAAAGCTGTGGGTGGTTTGACAACCACTGCGCATCCAGAAGTTCACAAGGAGGACTTGGTGGCTGCACAACATAAACTCTCAGTTGGGCCTCATGACTGCCCGGACTGTGAGAAGAAATTTAAGTTTGCCTCTTCACTGATCGCCCACAGGGTCATCCACACCGGTGAACGCCCGCACCGCTGCGGTGATTGTGGCCGCTGCTTCTCTTTCAGGCAGTCCCTCGACAGGCACAGACACACGCACAAAACAGCGCACAAGACGAGCGAGTGCGACTGCCTCTTCTGCGGGGCATCCTTCGAGTCCTCGTTGGCGCTCACACAGCACAAGCAAACGCACTTGGTGGACGGAGTGTACACATGTCACCAGTGCGACAAGAGATTTAACTGGGAGCTGGCACTCGCGAAGCACCTGAAAACTCACGCTGACGATCACAACGCAAACAAGTCTGCTGAGAGCCAGGAGACGGGGCGAGAGGTTGTCGTGGGTTATGACGTCGTCAGCAGCGGGGCTTCTGTTGAGGGGGACGTCCAGGTGCAGGGGGAGGATCGTGATTCTCGTGATCAAGAGAACTCAGAGGTTCTGAGCAGTGATCATCACCTGTATGAGCGTGAAGACACGGTTCCTGAGCTTGGCAATGAAACGACAACGTTGGCAAAGGTCCGCACGAGTGGGCGCAAACGCAAACCCACCATGAAAATCCAGGTTATAAATTTGCAGAAGAGCTTGACCTCCAAAAGAAGGAAGGAGAAAGCCAAGGAAAAGCCTCCAGAGCTGAGGCCCTTACCTTTCAACTGGTACGTTCCACGTTAATAGTTTCTTATATTTCTAAGTTGCGGTATTGGTTTTATTACAGGTCTAGTACATGAATATATTAAATGAACTTGATCATTTTGTTCAGTTGCATGTGTGGTGGATGTGGATAGTCATGGTCCAGAAGAAACAGCTTCATCCTCTAATTTCTCTTCTTTAGCAGTGAGGAGCACTCTTATGGTTCATCCATGGTCTCAGCAAAGGACGGTGTTGAGTGTGAGTATTCTTTTAATTATTTCTTTGTCTTTCTTACGACTAAAAATTATTATTATTATTATTATTATTATTATTATTATTATTATGACTAATTAGACACTACACTTGAAAAAATCCATCTGGTAACCTAAAAATGAAGGTAGACCTGTACGGGATTTGTGGGTGTCCGATATCAATATTAGGAAGAAAGAAAATCCAATACCGACATATCCTCTGATATCTTTCCTAGATCTATCTGCGATCTTTAAAGATAAATAGATAGATATAAACATCTGTTGTGTTGATCCCTCAAATGTAGTTATCAAACGCTTGTGGAAAGATATATAACCTGTACCTGCGTCCCCGCTTGACACTCTGGAAAGTCATGATGCTTTTTGTTATGCACATAGCAGACTCTTCTAGACACTTAACCTCAAATTACCCGAGCTGGTTCGTCGGCGGCGTATAAATCATAGACTATAAATATTAATGGATGAAGCCTGAGTGACGTCAGTCATCTTGTTCCTGCAGGAGGCTCCGGAAGCTCATCAGCAGCCTCCGCCATGATGGAAATCCTGTCTCAGTCTAACTTTCAGTCAACCTAACGCGCCTTACTATGGATGACACCTATCATTTTCAAAATCAAAACGGAGCCATTTAAAAAAAAAAAAAATTAACCCCCGTACAGTGTGTGACCAATAACTACTCATGTTAATTTCTGCTGTAAAAACTGGCTTTTTGGCCTGTGGCGTGTATGTGACTTATGGTGTTCCTGGAGCCAGCCTCAAACAGACACAGGATTTTGCACGTCACTTTCAGAACCAGAGGTTGCCGCTTGGTTTGAATGTGTCTGAATGGGATTAGTTACTTCTGACGGACACTTTAAGTAAGCAGGATGAGAAATGTGGTTTTTATGTACATGACAAATCAGCAAAGAGAGAAAATGTGTCACTCTGTCCTATTTCCTCCCAGGAGCTTTAATGTTAAAAAATGCAAATAAATGTATTTTTAAAGTTGTTGTCACCCTCCCTGCAGAATACCTTTTTGTCCTTTTTTGGGATACAAAGTGTGGAATGTCTTTTCAATTCTATGAACACTGCTCACAATTGTAACATGTAGACACCTGTTGAAAAGCCCAAGTAGCCTAACTTTTGGAGGAAGTGAAAAATAGTTTAATTTTTTTCCTGCTTATATGAAATATTGTCATCAAAATACAGTTTAAGGCAGTTTATCTTTTTAGAAAATGTTCAACTTCTCTCAGACTTAGTTTTAGATCATAATACATTTTTATGTTATTTACTAAGAATCTTGTTTAGCACTTGCAATCAATGAATCCAAAGTCAAGGGTTTAACTTTCACTTTTTAAGCACAATGTTAACTGCTTGCTCCAGTGTTGAATAACTGTTGTTTTTGTACATTAGGTTGTGCAAGTGACGGCTCCCCAGCTGCGTTCTCCTGTCCTAAATGCTCCTTCCAGCACTCAGAGGAAGCACAGGTCCAGCAGCACATCGACAAGGTTCACTCTGCACAGGCTAAGGATGACAAGGAGTCTGTTCAGCCCCTCACAGATGAAGAGGGAGGCTTCAGCTGTTCAGAATGTGGGAAGAGCTTCAAATTCCAATCTTTACTCACAGCTCACCAGCGGATACACACGGGGGAGCAACCCTTCCTGTGTCCTCAGTGCGGACGGCGTTTTTCCTTCAAACAATCACTGGAGCGGCACAAGTTGACGCACAAGTCTGAGCGAAAGTACGAGTGCCTGATCTGCAGGGAGTTCTTCAAGTCCCTGGTGGCGCAGAGGGAGCACAAGAGCACCCACATGGAGAATGGTGAGTACCTGTGTTCAGAGTGCGGCCGAGCGTTTGCCTGGAAGTCGGCTCTTGTGAGGCACCTGAAGACCCACGACGAGGAGGTGGAGAAGGTGGAGCGTTCCTTCAAATGCCCTCGCTGTGAGCTGAGCTTCAGCTGTGCTAGCCACCTCAACAGACACCTGCAGACGCACCAAGAGGAGCGATTGCACACATGCAACTGCGGGAAGAGCTTTGCCTACCGGGCAGCTCTCACCGCACATCAACGTATCCATCAAAAGGAGCGGCCGCACACGTGTGCACAGTGCGGGAAGGGATTCCTCTACAAAGGGGGGCTGCTGAACCACATGAAGATCCACTCAGAGGAAATGCCCTTCATGTGCTCTTTCTGTGGCAAGAGTTTCAAAAGGGAGCGGAATATGAAGAAGCATGAGCGCTGCCACACCAGGGAGAATGTTTTCAGCTGCTCGCAGTGCGATAAAAGTTTTGTCTACAAGGCGACTCTGATCAGGCACGAGCTCACTCACTCCGGCGAGAGGCCGTTCCTCTGCTCCGACTGTGGGAAGGGCTTTTTTTCCCATGCCGAGCTTCTGAAGCACGAGCGCTTCCACACAGGTCACAAGCCCTTCCAGTGCCCCCAGTGTAGCAAGAGTTTCACCCAGTCCTGCTACCTGACCATCCACCTGCGCTACCACACGGGAGTACGGCCGTATTCCTGCACCGAGTGCGACAAGAGCTTCCTCAGCGCCAACCGGCTAAAGAGACACCAGCGGACACATTCAGGGGAAAAACCGTATCTGTGTGTCGAATGTGGTAAAGGATTCAGGCAGTCCTATAACCTCAAAATGCATCAACGAACACATACCATGAAGCTAATATAGACTTGTAAGTGTTGAACATATTGATCTGTGAAATGTAACAGATTAATTTAAAAATCATGATCAGTTGCAACTGGATAATGGATTTTGCTGCCTATGCAATGCTATCAAAGAAAGTTGTTCTGCAAGAATAAGTTCTTAATTGATTGCCACATTGTATTGTGATTAAAGCACGTTGAGCAGGCGAATGTGTTACAGTGGCATCATGAATGTTTTCTTATAATGGAGGCAAAGAAACACGAGAAGGTTTTCTATAAATTCAGTCTTTATTGAGGGAATGTAACTGTAGAGACAATGTAAAACATGTTTGGAAAAGAGGTTTAAACACTTTAGTGCATGACCGAATCACATTTGATTTTTTTGCCAACAGCTGTGGCAACATTATGAAACACAACACAGGTTCTGTAACCTGTCACAGGACCTAAATGAAATTCAGCTTAGACATCTTTGAAAACTTAGTGTTGCTTCTTCACAGAATCCTTTATAATCACTGAGCTTATTGACAAACTTACATGAAGAAGACAAACGGGCCTTTGAATTGTTTCATGAAGTACATGTGTGAAAACTGCAAAAATAGTACAAGACAACTAATCCTACTGAGAGTGAGTTTGGGCAGCACATCACCCATGTAAGACACCCCTGCCTGAGTAGGGCATCTCCCCCTATAACACACACTGGTAACCATGATCAGCCAAGTGGTAACAGTAGTACGAGGACGACAATCAAAGCTACCTTGACCTACACGGCGATGTGCAGAGTGATGGGGCAGTGGTCGCTCCCCATCGCCTGGTTGCGGATCTTGCTGTCACACAGGCCGGGCAGCAGACCGGACGACAGCAGAAAGTAATCGAGCCTCCAGCCCACATTCTTTCCACGGGAGTTCATCATGTAGGTCCAGAAGGAGTAGGCGTGGGTCTGATCGGGGTAGAGCTCTCGAAAGCTGTCGACGAAACCGTTGGACAGCAGCTGACTGAAGCCCTCGCGCTCCTCGGGGGTGAAGCCTGCGTTTTTCTTGTTGCCCTTCGGGTTCTTCAGGTCGATCTCCTGGTGTGCAACATTGAGGTCGCCGCACAGCACCAGAGGCTTTTGCATGTCCAGCTCGCTCAGGTATGCCTGGAAGTCCACGTCCCAGGTCTTGCGGTAATCTAGGCGCACAAGGCCCCTGCCGGAGTTTGGCACGTAGGCAGTTACGAGGTAGAAGTTAGGGAACTCGGCAGTGATGACGCGGCCCTCCTTGTCATGCTCTTCTTTGCCTGGATGATTGACAAAGTGTTTATGTACTTTAACAAGACATTAGAGACATCAGTTAGCATGCTTATGTTTTTTTCTTACCAAAAGAAATCTATATTGTTAATATAAAGCCACCACTGGTTAGCTTAGCTTAGCATTGAGACTGGAAATAGTAAACCTGGCTGTGTCCAAAAGTAAAAAAAAAAGAAAAAGTTTGGCAATCATCTGTTAAATAAACATTTCTATATTAAATTTGTTCAAAAAAAAAGGAGCAAAGTGACAATATGCAACTTTACAATATTTAGTTGCTGGAGGTGGTGGCTGTTGTCAAGCAACCACTAGAGGCTACAGTAACTATGTCCCAATTTGCAGTCAAATGTTATGTCACCAACTGTTGAAGTATTTCTGTAACCACATAGAACTTAGTAGCAATGAAGCAACACTTGAACATATACAAAAGTATTTATTTTAAGCCATCTTTGGTAAAATTAAAACAAAATGAAATGTCAAACTACTTTTTCTGCGTGCCATTTATAGATATCAATCCTGGTGTTATGTAACTGTAGAGACAAATCTCTTTTGGAGGTTCGATTAGAAAACACCACTCACCTATGCCATAGGTGACGTTGATGGGTTCAGTCTTGCAGAGCATGGCCACACCGCTGTATCCCTGCTTGTCGTCTGACACGGCCCAGTACTTGTGAGGGTATTCTGGCATTGAGGTGATTTCAGCAGGGAGGTCTTTCTCTCCACACTTTGTCTCCTGCAGGCACAGGACATCGGGAGCCTCCTCACGCACCCACTGGGAAGACAAAACAAGTTTGATCGGTTAAAATTAATCTTAAAATGTTCTTTTCCCCTTTATTTTTCTCAATTCCACCACAAACTCACATCCAGGCCCTTCTTCTTCACCCACGCTCTCAGCCCGTCCACATTCCACGAGGTGATCTTCATGTTGGCGTCACGTCCATCTTTGCTGGTCATTTTGTCGGGAGGATCCTCGTACAGAATCGGGGCCTCTGGTTCCTTGGCCTTCTTTGTTTTCTTTGCAGAAGCTGCAAAGTGAAGGTTACACATAAAGTCATGAAGTAGCAGTTCTCCTCTTGTGTTGTAAGAACGTGTTCCAGTTTGAATGATTGCGTGTTGTAGTACCAGAGCCGGAGTCGTTCTCCCCATCTGCGGCTGCATCCTCTGCATTCTTGCCTCTCTTCATTCTTGAACTTGCTCGGACAGCTAGCACACCTCTCAAACACACAACACGCACACACAACAGCACACGCGCCGCTGAAAAAAAAAAAAAAAACACAGACAAGGAGTCTTAAGAGGTGTGTATGCCTCAAAGTTCGAAACACCCAGTTTTTAAGATATGTTGATCTATTTTCAAATGATACATAGGGTAAGAAAACTTAGTTTATATCCATACTGTGTATGTTGTGTCAAAATAACAGATTTCATCCGTAGAGAGTTCTCCTCTCACTATCCGTCCCTCTTAACCTTCACCCAGCCCCCCACCCCCCCTCTGAGCACACATGGAAAAACCACACAGCTGTATGTGTAATGTTTAAACGTACCTGTGTAACATTAAGAATGTGGTCAATGTGGATTTGACTAAGAGCTGACTTTGTGTTATTTCTTAACACAAAATATGGAGATATACATCATGTAGCGCCCTCCAGCCAAAAAAACATTAAGTTATAATATTTGGTCCATATCACCAGGCATCAACAACAACATATAGTATACTTTATTATGTTTGCAAAGAGATAACTGAAGGTTTTCAAAATAAAATTCCGTAGAGCTGAAGAAACGATTTTACCAAAACAAACCAGTACAAACACAAACATCAGCTATCATATAAACTATTGTAATACTTATTAGAATAAATCACAAACTGATATGTCTGTCTTTTTTTTTTTCCCCCAGATGATCTTCCACTCCCTTAAACACAAAATAAAACTTTAAAACCCTAAACAGACTTTATTATACAACGTCTTCCTCCAAAAATAGAAATAATCTGATTAATAAAGGAACATCGTCGTGTTTCAATCTATCCCAACTTTTTCATTTTAATGAATCTGTTCATAATGTTGGTTATCACAGTGAATGTTTTAATGTTCAGATAAAACATGTCCGACCAGGGGACGCACACAGTTAGTATTTAGCTGCAGATAAAAACATTCATAAATGCAAACTTCGAAAACATTGCTGACCCACTGAACGCAAAAGCGTGCGTATAGTATAGTATATACTATATATATATATATATATATATATAGTATAATGGAGCTGTTCAAGCTTTTTTTTAACGTATTACGCCACACTGAGAGCTATACTAAAGCTAGCGTTTCCTGTGTAACAAAGGGAAGCTGTACACAGCATGGCCTGCACTGACAATGAATGACGAATTACCAGCTAGCTTGTAATTAGCTTTCCCACGCTGCTAATTTGTGTAATCAATAAATGCAAATGTTGAAAGACGCTAGCGCCGTTTTTCACCAGCTACACATTTCAGGAAAGAGCCATGCAAATTATCTTACTTGGACTTCCACGACAGGATGCAAACAACAAGTTTGTTTGTGCTTCAGTGACCCACACACACACTCACAAAGCCGCAGGTCTCTGACAACGTGCTGCACTTTGTGGCTGTCTTTACATATGCCTGATGGAAATCATAAAAGAAAAATCACAACTTTACGAAATACAAAAACCAACAGGCCACTATGACGCAATTACACAAAAAAGAGGCACTACTGAAGTTAAACTTTATTAAGACTTTTTATTTATTTATTTTTAACATTTTTTTGTTCAGGCAAACTGTGTAGTTGTCAATGTTTTGGACCCCACGCTACATAGTTGAGTTTTAGAAGTTAGCCGAAACACACAAGTTACTGAACTTTGTGTGCTTTAAAGTTCCCCTGACAAGAAGCTGGATTAATGCAATCAAACCAAAGAAAGAAATACAATAGGTATGCTCATTTAAGATTAAATACTGAGTTAAAATAGGCTTGTTTTATGAGGCAGCGATGCTATGTTTGAGTCTGACTGCTAACATACTAAACAGGAATCAGTATGTTGGTTTATTTGTTTTGACTGATTGTATGTTATTTATAAATATATATATAAAAAACTATATTATTATAAGGTTACTGTCAGCAAAACATGAAAAATATGAATCCTAATAAACGGAATTTAAAGTGAATTAAAATTCAAATTAAGACAGATTTTTGTCCCCTCACTATATTTGATAGAAAATAAAGCAATATCTACAAAAGCCTGGTATCAATCAGATATTACAAGAGTATTGCACATTGAGTTATTGGACAGATTCTGGGCCTCTTAAGATTCATGTTGCACAGTTTGAATCCATATTGAATAATGGAGATGTTTACAGTGAAGTGTGAAATTGTCCAGGTTCAAAAACTGTTTTTCTTGGATTCAAAGAAACAACCGAATCTTTTCACTGCACAAATGTCTTTTCTTAAAATAGGTGTCAGCTGTTATGACTGTGGTAATCGGATTCGAGGGCAGTGCCAATAAGATCGGCATAGGAATCATCAGAGATGGTGAAGTGCTTTCCAACCCTAGACGGACCTACATCACTCCTCCCGGTCATGGTGAGTTACATTCCTGCTATAAAATAACTGTTTCTGGTCCATGGTCATACACTGAAGTCTAAATAATCTCACATGTTAAGTTATTAAAATGTTATTTAACTCTGCAGGATTCATGCCGAGCGACACCGCCAGGCACCACCGTGCTGTCATACTGACAGTCCTGAAGGAGGCTCTGGAGCAGGCAGGACTGAAGCCTGCAGACATCGACTGTGTGGCATACACCAAAGGTAACATGAGCATGAGGATCGTAGTTTTGAACAGATCCAGATCTGTTTGGTTTAAAATGAGATCATCCTCAGGATATTGAAATGTAATGATTACTGTTGTCGTATTCAAAATCGGTGTTGGTCTCAAGATAAAACATCCTGAAATCACAGAGATGCTCTGGAGTTAACCAGGAAACACATTAGGTATCACTTTTTAATAGCTCTGCTCACTAATTTGACTCCCAGCATTTGAATAAGTAGATGTTTGATTGTTACAGTGTAGCCATTATACTGTATAAGTCTTCATTTAATTTCTTGACTTAATGTCTGCTGCAATGATCTAATGTTTCTCTGTCTCTCTTATTCTTCCCGTTCAGGTCCCGGTATGGGTGCCCCCTTGGTGACGGTGGCTCTGGTGGCTCGTACAGTCGCTCAGCTTTGGGGGAAGCCGCTCCTCGGTGTTAACCACTGTATTGGACACGTTGAGATGGGCAGACTCATCACGCAAGCTAACAACCCCACAGTGCTTTATGTCAGTGGAGGAAACACACAGGTTTGTAACATCGTTCAGGGGAGTTGTTGAGAGTGTCCTTTAAATAACAATCACTAACTTCTGATGTGCAGTAAACTTTCTGGTGTGACATATGTTAAGTTAACAGTACAAATGTAATAACACGTCTGATAATCTGTGCAGGTTATTGCATACTCTGAGCGGCGATACAGAATATTTGGAGAGACCATCGACATCGCTGTTGGAAACTGTTTGGACAGATTTGCCAGAGTTATAAAGGTGTGTGTCCTCCAGTAGAGAGCACCCTTTTGCTTTGCTTTGAATTGTACGTGATTGAAGTTAAATTGAACTTTTTTTCTCCACTCAGATCTCCAATGACCCTAGCCCGGGATACAACATAGAGCAGATGGCCAAAAAGTGAGTGAATGAAGATTTGTGCTTAAAGGGGTAACTCTGTATTATTTTTAACCTGGACTCTATTGGTAGGTACAAATTATGATAGAAATCAGGGCCGTGTGAGACCGATGTGCGGTCCGTTCAGTACACACAGCGTCAGGTTCACTTAAGACAATACTAATTATTTTTTTCTAAAGACTTGGATATGTGATAAACTTTACAACATTAGGATATGAACACATCGTTAGATATCCCCAGCTTACCTGCCCTCTGCTCCCCTGGTTCTCTCATCACCCGTGTGGCCGTTATTTCTCCTAATCCTGACCTGTTCCTGGTTTCTTTGATTCCTAACAGGTTCATAATTATAGGCCTATGGACCGTCACATGCATATAAACACACATTTTCTTCCTTTTCATTGACAAGACCAGCATTTATGATCCATGGTTATTAAAGGTCACATATTCTCCTCCATTTCAACCAGTTTAAATAATTCTCAGAACTCCTCAAAACATGTCTGTGAAGTTTCTTGTTCTAAATCCACTCTGATCCTGTATTTGATCATGCCTATAAACCCCTCTATTTCAGCCCTGATCAGAACAGACTGTTTCTGTGTCTGTACCTTTAAATATGTAAAAGACCTGTGTCTGACCACGCTCCCTCTCTGGAAGGACTTGGGTGGCTCGGGCTTTCTCTCTCCATGTCCTATTGTTTACGGTGAGAAGGCAGACTCAGAGGGCAGAACAAACACCTAGCTGTGGGAGTGTCACCCACCTGGGGGAGGGGTTACTGCCCTTTGTGATGTCATGAAGGGAAAATCTCCAAACGGCCTGTTTGAGCACACATTTTCTGAAAAGTGGAGCAGACAGAAGACGGAGAGGATGGACTTTTCTTATAATTGGGGTGTTTGTAGACAGACTAGGGACACATATTATTGTTAGTAAAACATGGTAAAGTGTATTTTGCATGATATATGACTTTTATTAAACACAACCTGAATCAGTGGGACTACAGAAGTCTCTGTAGGGTATGAATTAAAAAATGTCATAAATCTACGATACACTGGGGTCTCCAACCTGCAAGTTGCTCTTTGAGTAAATCGTCATATACTAAACTTCTCTCCTCGTTGTGCTGTTAGAGGGAGTCAGTATGTGGAGCTGCCCTATACAGTGAAAGGAATGGACGTGTCATTTTCTGGGATTCTATCCTACATCGAGGTGAGTTCAAATGTTTCAGTGTTGGTCTGTAAAAAGCATTACTTTCACAAGTGCTTTTATCTTAATGATTGTTTGATTCTCTGTTAGTTCACAGCGGTGACAGTTTAGATGTTGATTAGTGAATCGAGGCTGATCACTAAATGATTATTTTGGTTCATGCTCCTGTTTGTCTCCAACAGGAGGTTGCTCATAAGATGCTAAGCTCTGGTCAGTGTGCTGCAGAGGATTTGTGCTTCTCCCTGCAGGTACAAAGCACCAGAACACAAACAGATGGGTTGTTGCTTTATTTCAGCTGTCAGAGTTTTCACTTCATTGATTATTGAATATTCATCTTTTTTTTTTGACGAGTAAATAATTAGTTAATCCATTAGTTGTTTCAGGGTCAGTCATAATGTTAGATTTTGTCTGTATTGTCCAGCACTAATGCCTCCCTCTCTGCAGGAGACGCTGTTCTCCATGCTGGTGGAGATCACAGAGAGGGCCATGGCTCACTGCGGCTCCCAGGAGGTCCTCATCGTCGGCGGCGTTGGCTGTAAGTACGAACAGTTGCACGCTAAAAGGAAACATTTCATCGTCACTGTTCTGGGTCATGTCTAATAATACAAAGCCTCAAAAAATGTGGACACATTCAGTAGTTTATCACAGTGATTAAAATATCAACAGAGTGAGACAATCTGGTGAAGCCATTTTGCAACTTCATCAGCCGAACAGGAACATTACACAACAAACAGAGATACTGGGTACAGAATGTCATACACTGTTGTGTTCACGTTTTGTACAGTTGTGAAATGCACTGAAATCTCAATGAATGAAAGGTGCTATATAAATGAAGTCGAGTTGAGTTGAGAACACACAGAAATGGATAAGGTGTTTTTTTTTTTTAATTCACACTCTCACTGAGACATGCAGCCCAAAGTGCTTCACAAAAGAACAGACAGGAAATGTCCTCTTCATGTGAGGATAAAACAAAAGACCTAAAGAACACAAATATTGTCATTCTTGGGTTTGATTACACACAGATTGTACAGGGATGCTGTCACGTTAGCAGACCAGTATCTTTCTACATCTGTGTTAGTTACAACAAATAAAATGTCCGATCAGATACATTTTACTTTGACTGTAATGACATTTTCATCCTGGCACATTTTGTGTTTAGTTTACAAGACAGGCGGACTCAGAAAGGAAAAATAAATAAATAAATAACAGCACATCGGAGAAGAGCACAGTTACTTTACTGACTTTGTGGCTTATTTTGAGTCATGTTAGTCAGATACAGCCATAACACTCCGGGCTTTGACGTGCATGAAGCACACCTCTGCCAAGCGTGCCAGGGCCGAGGATGTGAAACGTGCTTAAACACGGATTGGGGCACTCACACAAGTCAAATGAACTGGACTTTAGGGGTGAAGCATGCGTGGGCATGGTACAGATTGTCTAGCGTGAGTGCGCCCTAAAATGTATCAGAGGCAATAAAATTATAATATTCTATCTCACTATTTGCAAGTGAAGCCAACTTTAACCACCACCATAAAAGTGAATGTAAATGTAACGACTCAAAGGTCTATCCTACCATTATTAAAATAAGTGAACTAGCCCTGATCATGCTAAAAGGCTCACATTCATTTATTTATCCAAAGATTTGACCCAATCATCGTGGACAGACTTTGACCCTTTGTTTCCTGTGCAGGTAACCTTCGTCTGCAGGAGATGATGGGGGTGATGTGTAAGGAGAGAGGAGCCAAACTGTTTGCAACAGATGAAAGGTAAACCAGTCAATCCACACTCTCAATCATTCACATTTAAATGTAGTCAGATGTTTTAAACATGAACAAAAGGATGTTGGTCCCTGAACTGAAACCTTTGTAAACATTCAGTGGCTTTACAGCCAGGTGTAAAAAGGTGTTACACAACTCTTTGATGTAGGAATTGCTGTCCTGATATATATATTTTTTTCTTTTCATTCACAACCTCCAACAAAATGTTTCTAGAGCCTGTGTACCTCCTGTTTTGAAGAAATAAGCCAAAGCTGCATTTCTTTGAGTGTTTACTTGATGGCTTCAAAGCCAAGGAAGCTGAGGTGGCTCAGTTGGTAGAGTCGGTCGTCCCCTAACTGGAAGGTCGGGGGTTCGATCCCCAGCTCCTGCATGTGTCCTTGGGCAAGACACTTCACCCCAAGTTGCTCCCACTGCTTAGTCGGCGTGTGTATGAATGGGATTAATGACTCCTGATGGTCACATTAAATTGCAGCCTTTTACCATCAGGGTGTGAATGTGTAGGTGTGACATGTGGTGAGTAGTCAGAAGACTAGAAAATACCATTTACCATTTGGTTCTGTATTAAAATGCCTATTTCTCCTGCAGAAATAAACATTTTTAACATATGTAGCGTATTGCATTCACATGAGAAAACATAAATCAGCTTAGTTTTTCTCAATTGAAGAGATCATTCTCTGAGAAGAATTACAAGGTGCTTTGGTTTCCTGGCAAAACAGCTGATAAGGAAGCACCAGAGCGGGGTTAGTGTCTGAATTTCAAAGATCTAAGTTGCCTGCCCAAAGACGACAAACTAATAACTACACTCAATCAATGTTATCTAAAAACTTCGACCAATGTCTGCCACGAGGTACCAATCTGATGAACCAATCACGCCTCCCTGTCTCCCTGCTCGTTCTCTACCCCATGCATGCACGAGCCCACACTCAAAACGATGAGCTGAGGTCCACTTCTGGACCAATGGCGACCAATTGAAATTCATTCATAAAAACATGTTTAATACAGCTATGGAAGTTAAGGAAATTCAGTTATAAACTGACAAAACTACAGTTTCTGGCTTTATGTATAAATATAAATTGTCATGGAATGGAATGAAATGTGCTGAACTTGTAAAAACACTGGTGTGGTCTGTTTAAAATCTCAGAATGTCCTTTGCTGGACAATAAACTTGAGCAGGTAATCATCATTCCGATCTGTTGAATTAATATGGAGGAAAACTTTGTCTACATGCTGAGTTCCTGAGACTGTCCGGGGTTTCAGTCTGCCAGGAACATAGTGTTCCAGGTTCAGTCGAGGTAACCGTGTTCCCCTTGTGCCACAGGTTCTGCATAGACAACGGTGCAATGATTGCCCAAGCAGGCTGGGAGATGTTCAGGTCCGGTCAGGTGACAGAGCTAGAGGACTCATGGATCACACAAAGGTAGACTTCACTCTTCTGTCTTTGTCTCAGCTCTTTAGCTGTGTTTCTATAAAACAGTACAGATCAGAAGCCACCACATATAGAGTTGTTATTTTTACATTTCATTTTAGTACAATGTGTTAATGGTACCAGTAAACCAGCTGAAATATATTTAGGTGCATGGACAGTACGTTGCAGTTCAAAGGGTAAATAAGTAGTTTGGGGAAAAAGCACAGTTTTAGTCATACAGTTACTCACATAACTTAAGGCTAGCCTTTTATAAAGCTCTTTTTTTAATAATTTGACTGAAGTGCTCGCAATTAATATTGAGAGAATGTAAGGTTTACAATTTGAAATCCACACCTCATTGTCCCACCCAACTATGTTTATTTTATTACACCAGAAGTGTTGGAAATGCAGCTTTCATGTAGCCTCTACATAGTCGGGAATGATAAAAACCAGAGATAAACTAACTGGTTACTTTTGTTATAAAGACCGCAAAACGAGATCCAGGCTGCTTTCAGGCTCGCCTCGATAGGCTTCTATTATCCTTAACCATCAACAATATTTCTGCTTTGGGTAAATATATGAATGTATGTTAGTATATAATGTGTGTATGAACAAATGAATGTGTATGTACTAATGAAAGGACAAGTTTGTATTTACATATGTATGTACATACATACCCCTTTATAAATAATCTCTATAATAAAAAATTATATGTACATTATGTACTTATATTTTAAGTATATATGTGTAATTATGTTATGTATACATAAATATACATGTATATATGATTGTTTTATAGACATATGCACCCAAACAGCACCTATAGACATTCATTAATGGAGAGATGTCAGAGTGAGTAAAGAGAACTCAGGAAGTGACCCTGGCAAGTCTCCAGCAACCAGACCATCTTACATACTTCTGGTCCGTACTGGGACTTGAACCTGCAACCCGAGTCCCTATAGAATGAGCTACTGCCGCTCAAATATGCTACCTTCTTGGTCTGTAGATATTGACCTTTGACATTTTCTGCTGTTTTAGGTACAGAACAGATGAAGTGGAGGTGACATGGCGAGACTGATGGATGGAGCAATGTCCTGGAGGGGTCCATGTTGTTGCAGCACGGCGGTTATGAAAAGTGGGATAGTTCCTTCTACTCTGCCACACTAAGCAGTTGGACTTGAAGAGAAACTCATTCTTTAGAGTTTTTCTGCTTAAGGCACTTGCTCTATACAATTTAGTTTGAGGGAATATTGCTACCTGCATTTTTGGTCGTTATCAGAATAAAGCAAATGAGTTCTAGTACCTTGATCTTTTTTTTTGGTTTAAGATTTAAGTTGAGCTACAAATTATTTGTTGTTTCCAGTTGTCAAGCCCTTGAAATGTCCAGGAGGGAGGGAAGACTTTTCAGCCTGTGAAGCGGGAAATGTTAACTTAATTAAAAACAAGACAAAAAAGACTTCAGTAGAACTTGACAAGTTTATTAAATTTTATTAAGCAATACTGTTCACTTACATTCCTCCTCTTTCTCCAGTGTAAATTTTTTATTCAATATATCTTTTCAAAAAAAATCATCATACTGAACACGGTGAGATCCCTTATGGATTCATGAGAAACATTCACCCAATTAGGGAACAAAATAAAAACAAAGAAAAAAGGAACACAGCATTAAGATCTGACAGGTAAATAAAGGGTGAACTCTACTGTGCCTTTGACTACACCCCTTTGTAAACTGAAGACACGGATACACACGTCCTCTGCATTCATTTACCATAAAAACTCAAGCAGGTACATCACAGACGCTGATCCTAATGAAGGGGGAAAAAATATTCTCTGGTGAGGGTTTCTTGCACACAGGGCTTGGTCACAACAGATTCTTTTTCAACAAAGTGCTTGATTGACCGCTCGCTTTACAGAGGACACAAAAAGTTTGATAAAACTGCAGCAAAGGGAAATTAAATTACAGCTCAGAGATTGTTTTTTTTTTTTTTTTAAAGAAAAGAAAAAAGACCAGCTCTACATATACAAGCTAAAATGGTAATGTGAGGCGATGACAACAGGTTTGATTAATTAAGGCAGGCTTTCTGTAAGGCGTTAAAAAAGTTCATTGCTGTAAGATCTCAAAGGAGTTAGTCCAAAGTGTCTCAGTGTGGCTTTGCGTGAAGACATCATCCTGAGTGCAGTGTGTGAACGGGACACAAAGTTGTCCACTTTTACATGTTTTTTTTTTTTTTATGTGCATGTAGGTATGTGTTGTGTCTATGTTTATGAATGCTTTGGGTTTCTCACACTGCTAGGCTGGGTTTTCCTGGGTGTCCTTGTACCAGACCACTTTTTTTGGAACTGCAAAAAAAGGAAAAAAGTTTGGGTCAAAAATATTGAAACGTACAGAAATTGGATAAATTAATATATATTCCCTGCCACATCAATGAGTGTCTCATTGTTAACAATCAAGGACTCTTCTGTTTTGTTCAAGCTGACACTGTAGAATAAATGAATGAAAACTCATGTAAAGTCTCTTTTTTTTTAAAAAGAACATTAAGGAAAACTGAGAATTCAACTTGTCTTTTCTATTCACAAGCGTGTGACATGGTGTGAAAAACACAGTTGTTGTGACTTTACTCTTGGTCTGCTGTTCTGACAGCTTTTGGCCAGGAAAAACTGTGGACATTATCTGACGATGCAGATAGTCAGATGAAGACCTGCAGCTGACTGAGGCTCTGATCTAGTATAGGATGCACTTAAGGAGTGACTTCATCACTGATTGGACATCCATATTGACTGTGGTCTATTTCCAATTAACCTGGAGTGACTCTAGACTACATTTCATGGGAGACCATATACCTGCTTCATACAATGAGAGTCAGTATTTTAGGCACTTTGAGTCAGTGCCTAAAATAGACAACCACAAACTATTCACCTCACCTGATGCTATCACTTCTAAAACAAGAAGCAGAGCGATTTAAATGAGCACTCACCTTTTGTCTGTCTGTTACTGAGAGCATTCCACTCTGAGGAGAAAAAAAAACAAGCACTGTAAGACTTAAATGTAATGAAATCATTTACTAATTATGTAAAATATCTGTAAGGACAATGTGTTCAAAACTTCTGGTCGGTCTTACCTCTACTGTGATAATTCAAAGCCTCCACTAGATGGCGACAACTAAGGAGCAGCTTGCCATTACTCTCATCCAGTTCTGAGCGTGTGGCGGGGCTGACGGAGGTAGTGACAGGGGTAGGTGTTTCTTCTGGAGGCTGGAAGGTGATAACTGTCTCGCCTGGCGTTTGTTCAGCGTCTGTAGGCTGAGAGGGGAGGGGACTGGCAGTAGGGTGAGTGCCAGAGCCCTCCGAGACTGGCCTCGCCTCACTGATGAAACTGAGACCCCACTGGTTCTGTAGCAGAACACCGATGGCAGGGCGGTCCTCCTCCAGCGCTCCGGTTGCTGCCCCTGCCTTCACCTTGGAGGCGTAGCTGACGGCAGGCTGCAGCTTGGCGGGACTGTCCTGCACCGGGAATGCCGGTGGGGGCTTAAGCAGAGATAGACTGTCCTCCACCCACCTTTCCTTTGGGTTAACCTTTTGTGGACGGCCGACCCCCTTCTGACTCTCCCTGCGAAGGCTGCGGCCTTTGTGCTGATGGCCCTTGCGTTCTTTTTCCCTGCGGTAGCTGAAGGCGTGTGTGTGACCAGGTGCGATAATGTCGCCTTCAGGTGAAAGTTGACGGGGCTGTTGGTCAACACCAGCGATGCAGCCTCCACCCCCTCCTCCACCACAGTTTCCTGAGCCGGGAGAAAGACGTCGGTTGCGAATGTGTGGCTCGGAGTTGGTGGCTGAAACGAGGACTGCTGGGTCACACAGGGTATCGGACTCACACACAGTGTTACTCGCTTCCCATGTACCTGAAATAAAGACAACAGCATGTTGGTCACATATCTGCTGTGGTCAAAATTTGAGGAACAAAACTCTGTGCCCATCTAATGCCAATAAACTAAGAATTGGATATCAGATTTAGTAGACATGCTACTGTAAACAATAGGATAATGCTCTTTAACTAAACTAACGTATGTAACACAAGGTCCAGTTCTCTGTGGTTGGTCTGCAAATCCAACAGGACAACTTTGTCTCTTAAGCAAAGCAGAGGAAACATTTTCAACTGCATTAAAATATATAGCAATGTCTTCCTTTACCAACTTTCTTGTGCGTCTTGCCTCAACACAACAAACTGTGTCTAAAAAAAAAAAAGTGTGTCCTGTTACAATCTCCACTTGGCACGGATCCATTAAGGATCTTTGATCATATAAACAAACATCAGGCCGGGATGACACATTTTCATGTGACTTCACTGTGCCAGTAGACTTTTTTTAAAGACACTATTTTCCAAGTTGTGCAGAAAAGAACATGATGACCCGGTACAGTATTAAGAGGGCGGAGCAGCTGGAGTGAAACACCTCACATGTAGTTGTCCATATTGTGCTTACACAATTATATCCATCAAAGTACCAAAATGTGTGCTACTCTTCCCTCTTTTTATCCATAACACAAAAATTCATTTCCAATGGATGAAGAGGAATGATTTAGAACATGTATAAACTGGGTAAAAGAAACATTTTTATAAATAAATAACTGATCATGCTTACAGATGGTGATCCATATTCAGAGGTGTGATTAAACACATGGCAAACATGTTCAGCTGAATTGGTTACACGCTGAAAGGCTAGGGAAGGCAACAGCTAAATGTATGTATTGCTTTTATGACTGTAATGCAAATTTTCAGATTAAAAGCATCAGCACACATGTAGACCATAGTGACCAAAAGACCATATAAAAAAACATCCAGAGGAAACAGTAAGCCTCAAATCTTCGATGAGAAAGATCTGTGCATGTTAGTGAAACTTGTGTAAGATTTGGGGTTTAAACAACGACAAGAAACCGCACTCAAGCTCTAAAATGTAACCAAGCTGTTTTTTTATACCCCCACATTTTATTACTTTATAGCCTAAGACATGTCGTGACTATATTTCATAAGGGCTGGGCAATATGGACCAAAAGTCATATCTCGATATTGTTTAGCTGAATGGCGATACTCGATATTTATTTTATTAACAGTGAAAACGAGAGAGAGGAGGAGCCGGGTGAAGAGGGACAGTCAGTCATCATCACGTTATTTTAATGCAACTTAAACTATATCCATATTAACAATATTGTCTTACCCTATATCTTGTTTGAAAATATATCGATATATCTTAAAAACTCCATATATTTCCCAGCCCTATATTTAATTGATTATTTTTTTAAGAGCAGAGGGTATAGTCTCTTATCATAAAAACTCATTATCTTGTGGTTTCAAGCCTTAAATTATGTTTACATTGGCAATCATGAAACTGCTTTTCTTAGTGCAGGACAGAGCAGCTCAAACAAAAGTTACACAACATCCAGGACCTGTTTACTGAATACACTGCTCGTCATAAAAAATAAAAAAAAAGAATGACTGCTAATTTAATTGGGAGAGACATTGATCAAAGTTTTACATGTTACAACAGTCACAGGGTCATGGGGCTTCAATATATTCAGTTTTTAGTAATTCTTTGTTTGACATTGACTAATGTTACCATATAAAGTGTTATTTAGTATAAGTACAATATTCAAAATAAAGATATTAATTCACAACCACCTGGAGATTACTTAGTTAACTATGAATACTTAAGATTCAGACATTAATCTAATAAATAACTGGATATTTTCTCACTCTTTCAGAAAGTGAGTGTTACAGATTTAGATTAAATTAATACACACGGCCTCAGCGCCACATTTCAAATACTGACAGAAATGAAGAGAACCCAGTTGACTGTAAAGTCTCAGAGTTAATGATTTTACCTTCAGTCTGGATGTATTTGAGACCAGGCTATGATTTCTCTGATGCTAAGTTGGCAGCTAACAAGACGTGTTAGCAAACTTTAATTAGCAGCGTCACGATGTAACGACTTTTACTCGACGGGTTTCCAACAGCTGCCGATAGAAAATCACAATTATAGCTCAACAACGCTTTTATAACAAGAGCTGTCGTCGAAACATCGGTTTTATTTCCCCCGTATTACGCCATGTACAGCTAGCTAGCATGTTAGCCGAAGTCCAAGTTTCGTAACCTCCATTCAAAGCGGTGAGCAGCTAGCACGGCTGCTAACACCGTCGGCAGGGCAACGAAACGACAACTCTGAAAGTGGAGGATTCCCGTCACAAAGTTGTAAAAACTTACCGGTTTTGATATGCATGTCTTATCGTTGGATGCGTCGTTGAAGCGAACCGTTTAGTAACTTTTGTTTACAGCGGAGAGGTAACGTCGGCTCGCTGGAGGAGTCTTGTGTGGCCACCCGGAAGCGACACGAGAATGTGGGTGGAACAGGAAGTCCTTACAGATAAGGGGTCCGGCGGGAAACTCGGAGGGAATTCCGATATTCAAACCTTCCTATAACGAAAGCCCTTGCTATAACCATGTGGTAACAGTGGATATTAAGCCCCTTTCCCCCGGAACTAAGGACCTTTTTAGGAACTACGTGCATTTCGACTGCAGGAACCAGGTTCTAAATTTAGTTCTCGCAGCGCGTTAGATCCCCCACCATATTTAGATACAGCAACTCCAAGCCCACTGTTTTCCTCCACCATAATTTATAATCAAACTTGATGTTACCATTATGAAAAAGTACAAAACACACTATAACAGGCCATTATTTTCCATGAAAGTCCAATGTAGAGACCCAGTACTACCGTTGTCTATATGACATTTAGAAAATATAGCTACATGATTTCAGAGTGATAAAGGGTGTTTTCACAAAAAGTTGAGATTGTAATTATTTACACAATAGTGGCGCACACTAGGCTATATGATATTTATATTTTTGATGATGTTTATGTTAAATGGATTTAGACCTATCTATCCAATTTTTCTTGTGATCAGGTTTCCCAGTACTTTCTTGTCTCGACTATTGAAGAGGTAAATAATTAGATCAATATTAGTTATGACGAGTTTTGTTGTACTGCGAGTATGAATGTTTTGGATGTGGATTTATGTAATCTAACTTGTTAAATATTGTCAATGAACATATGGAGACCCCAGGAAGGGCAGCTAATGTTTAATTCAGAAGCTATAGGAACCGTGATCTTAATTAATAAATAATAAACAAACATCATTGTCTTAGTCTTGAATACTTAAAAAAAAAAAAAAAACTTTTAAGAGCTACACTGGCTAAATTAATAAACCAGATCTTGGCTTAGTTCACATGCTAATTCTATTGTTTAGGCTGAAGTGAATTGCATTCACTTACTGTTGTCTGAATCATTTCATGTAAATCATGGTAATCTGACACTCCTGTTTCCATAACTACTAGTTGGTAAGATGCAAGTTGATAAAACTATTAGCAGTCATGATAAACAAGGAATCTAAGAAAAACTCACATGCCATGTATGAATTGTCCTCCTCAAAAGCAACAGATTGATCAGTGTTCTGTAACTTCTCTCCACTGGTTCTCTCTGGCTTTGTTTTGTCCCATTGTTTGTAAGCTCTGTTTCTGATCATTTGTATTTTGCTCTCCTTTGCTTTGTCTTTCTTTGGACCTGAGGCTTTGCTATCTCTGAGGGCCTCTCTGCTCTCATCACTTCTGTTCATGTTCTCTGGGTCCTCTGTGGACACTTTGGCCTCTTTTCTGGTCCTATTTCTCCCTGGTTCTTCCCTTGTCCTGTCCTTTGACACTGCGTTATTTTACTGCTTTTCCTGCACTCTCCTCTCCAGATCCTTAACATCCTGTCTTTGATCAGTTACCTCAAATGTTATCTACCACCATTGTCTTATCTAACCCACTGTTTCCCTTTAAACGTCTGCCCATAACAGACTAAAAGAAAGACTGTCTAAAACCAATCCTAATCTATTTTTCAACTCCATTGGGTTTTCAAATTCAGATTAATGTCAAGTGAGGCCTGTTCTGTTCCTCCATCTAGTATTTCAACCCTTAAATGTTAAGTGTCCACTGCAAAAAGTTAAGGAAAGACAAACCCAAAAAGCCACATCATTTTTTTCTAGTGAATTACTAAACATTCTTACCACTACAAAGTCATCACTTTTCTGTTTATCATTATCCAAAGACCCATGCAACTGTTACTGATGGGTCTCCGGAACGCATAGTTATTTTTAAGGGACACGAGCAAAAAAGGTTAGTTTGACCTCTGACATAAAGCACGTAGTTTATCTGGTTGCACAGAAGATATTGATGGACTACCTCCTTCATTCAGATTCTCCACTCAGCACCTTCTAGCGACAGCAAGAGTTCCCTTTTAAAAGACCACAGAAGTGCTTGTAGAGATGCACTGTACGTAGGATCACTTTAGTTTGGGATGGATGCACTTCAATTATTAAAAGAAATAATAAAAGCACTTGATTAAAAAAATGTAATCTAGCAAATCTGTTTGGATATTTCCTCTCCACTAATATCATCAGAAACCACAAAATATCCATTAGCTCATAAAAGATAACTGGAATTCCTAGTGTCACCAAATAAAACTAAAGTAAAGGTTCATGGGGCGCTGGTGGCGCAGTGGTTAGGACGCGCACCCCATGTTTGGAGGCTGTGGCCCTCCAAGCGGGCGGTCCAGGTTTGAATCCCATCTGTGGCTCCTTTCCTGCATGTCATTCCCCCCACTCTCTCTCTCTCTCTCCCTGATTTCCAGCTCTATCCACTGTCCTATCTCTACATTAAAAGGCACAAAAAGCCCCAAAAATAAATCTTTAGAAAGGTTCATTAAAATAAATACAGTTGTTTTTATTGATAAAGTAGTAATCACTGACATGAGCCCCTGTCAGGTCAAAGACTCAACAATTCCCTTCTCCGTGTGTGTGCGTACGTGTCTCTTCAGCCTCGTAGACGTAGAGAAGCTCTTCTTACAGAACGGACAGCTGTGCGGCTTCTCCCCGGTGTGTGTGCGGACGTGCATGTTGAGGTCCGAGGAGCACCTGAACCTCCTCTCGCAGTAGGAGCAGGGATACGGCCTCTCCCCTGTGTGGATCCGCTTGTGGAGGAGGAGCTCGCCGGAGGTGAGGAAGGTCTTTCCGCACTGGGAGCACTGGTGCGGTCGCTCCCCTGTGTGAGTCAGGTTATGGCGAACCAGCGAGGTGGACTTGGCGAACGTCTTCCCGCAGCGGGCGCAGGCAAACGGACGCTCTCCCGTGTGCGTGTTGAGGTGTTCACTCTGAGCCCGCTTGGTTTTGAAGCTCTTGGGGCACTGTGGGCAGCTGTAAGGCCTGAAGTCACTGTGGCTGCGCTGATGCCTCATAAGCTCTCCGTGCGTGAGGAACGTCTTCTGGCAGGTGGAGCAGACGAACGGCCTCTCCCCTGTGTGGGTCCTTTCATGGCGCGTGAGGCTGGCCAGCTGACTGAAGCTCTTCTCGCAGTAGGTGCACTGGAAAGGTCGCTGGCCACTGTGAGTCAGCAGGTGTCGGTTGAGGATCTGGAGCTGTGTGAAGCTCTTTCCGCACTCGGCGCAGGGGAATGCACGCTCCCTGCTGTGGATCTGTCGATGCTTATTAAGGAGCCAGACGTGCGTAAAACCTTTCCCGCACTCGCAGGCAAACGGCCGCTCCCCGGTGTGTTTCATCTGGTGTCTCTTTAGGTCTGACGCTCGGCTGTAAATCTTCTCACAGAGCGAGCACTTGTACTGACGCCTAACCACATGCCTCTGCCTGTGCTGCAGCCGCTCCAAGATGCTGCCGAAGCTCTCGCCGCATTTCTGGCATTTGTACTCCCCGCCCACTTTCTCTGAAGTCTCCTCTGCTACCACAACCTCCGTCATAAATTCAAGAGGAGGGTTGCAAGTCTGGCCACAGGCAGTTCTTTCAAAATGCAGCTTGAGGAGCCCCATCTGCGTGAAGCGTTTCCCGCACTGCGAGCAGAGGAAGGGTCGCTCTCCGGTGTGAATGCGCTGATGTCTGGTCAGGTCCCAGGAGTTCTTAAAGCCTTTCTTGCATTCCTCGCAGGTGTATGGGCGCTCGCCCGTGTGCGTCCGCTGGTGACGAGTTACGTCTGAGGCCCGTGTGAAAGTCTTGCCGCACTCCTGGCACACGTGAGGGTCCGGCCTGTCGTGGATGGGGAAAGGTTTCGGGAACTCCGGACGCTGGACCTTCTTCCTCGGAGCCTCGGGTTTCTCTGCAGCACTCTGCAGTTTGTTGTACTGCTCAGGGTGACTGTGCTCGATGTGCTGCAGCAGGAAGGACTCCTGCATGTGGAAGAACGGACATTGGGAGCAGGCAAAGACCTGGGCGGACATCTCCACAGTGGTCCCTACGCAAAATACACAGAACACAGAAGTAGTTAATATATGGGATTTTTTTCTCTCTTGCCAACATTTAATTATTTGTTTGCACACTACTCACTATTTAAAGATCTCCATCTTCATGCAGATGACCAGACAAAAGCTAAATGTCTTCACCACCAGAGCAAATGAGAAACTATGGGCCACCTTGCCCCCATTTTACACCACACTCAATCTTGTTATTTTTATTTTATTCAAATTGAAAAACTAAGGCTTAGGCAATTGGTTAATGAATGTTTTCTCTTACCGAGAAACATTACACACATCTAAACATCAGCATCTGCAGCCCTTTGAAGTCAAACTGCCATGTCTTTAATTATAGGTTGTCAACAGAACAATCTCCCTACTTGCATTTGTTAGCGGTCTCAGTTTCCTTTTTTATTTACCAATGTGCATTTTATATCCGATGTGTCATTTTGAATGCTTCATTACTCATTTTATTATCTTGGTATTTATATTTATATTTGTAAGATAATGCAATTTGTCCTCTGCATTTAAAAACATTCACAGTTTTACTTAATGATAGCCTCCTGCTTCAGTGTGACCACAGCTCAATGATTTCACGACAGATTCTTCTGGTTTACCTTGTGTTCCAAGGTGCTCGAGGCACTTGTGGTGCTGCAGCAGTGACCTCAGGCCGTCAGGACTTGAAAGTGCTTGTAAGCAGTCCTTCAGTACAGAGGGGCCAGAGGTCAGCCATGAAACAGTCTGTTCAGGAACAAAAACAAATCTGTCAGCAAAATCGTTATCCAAAGTGATCGTTCAGTCGTGCAGTGTGATGTCAAAAATGTCAATCTTTATTTGTATAGTGCTGTTTGTAAAAGAAAGGTTTTTTTTTTTTTTTTTTAAACATGCACACTAGGAGATAAAGGAGGATGAGTTTTCACCTAACAATGTTTTAATTACACAGTTTATGTCTTACTATCACAAATACATTGCAGGTTAAAAGGTTCTGTAATGTTCTACCTGACTGAGGTCTGGTATAGGCAGGAGTTTCTCCAGTTTAGAAAGAAACTCCCATACAAGGAGCTGCATGTCTGTGTCATAACTGAGACCATATTCTGTTGGAAAAACCTCCTGAGGAGTAAAAAGGGGAATTGTTACTTATAAAATCGGAATAAAAAGAAGGATGGCAGTTTGGAAGCTGGCTTGCCTGGTAGAAATGCTCCCTCTCTGCCGGATCTTTCAGAAGTGTCTGAACAAGCTCAACAAAAATAGCCACCTCTGCATCCACCTCTGCATCTCCACTCTGAAAGACAGTCACTATGAGTGCTTCCATCCCCACACAACAAAAGCATATCACTGCTGAATCTGCCCAGTAAATACAAGGCCTGTGTAAATGTGACAAAGAAAGATGGGAGCATTGTTTTCATGGAATTGTAAGAACACAACTCTAGAAGCACAGCCTTCACTTACTGCTGTGTATCCTGGTGGGCGGATTTTTTCCAGATGAGGCTCTATGCACAATGTGTTGGCTGTTTCCTCATCCCTGCACAACTCAAGAATAATCTGAAGAGAAGATGTGAACAAAATAAACAATGAATGGAGTCCTCTCTGTATCCAAGAAGCATGACAAAACTTGAACGCTTGTAAACATTCTCAGCTTAACTTCAGGTGGAAGACGCTGACTTACTCTCGCTCTCAGTCGTAGAAGCAGCTTTCCTCTTTGCTTTGGACTGAGCAGGTCTGGAACAGTGCCTGTCACCAGTGTGACAAAGTCATCCAGCTGTTCATAATCGAGAACGTCCCTCCGCTGAGCCACCTGCCACATCGCCGCAGAGAGCAGCCGCAGAGGAGGGATCAACAGCCTCAACGATGACAACGGAAGGAATAAATCTGTTTCAACACAAACATGAAGCAAATCAAGGGCATGATAGTTCTATGTAGAGGGACTGTGTGTGTGTGTGTGTGTGTGTAAATTGTTACATTTCAACATGATATTAACATATTCAACATATTTTTTGTCTACTTTACAAAGTATAAAGTGGTCAAACTTGACACCCAAAGTCTGCATGATAACTTTTTCTTATATAGGGTAATACGTGACTATTCTGGTTAAACACAGAAATATGACATTTAAATATAAGGGGAGAAAAAATAACTAATCTAATGCATGAATTTAGATTATTAAGGGAGCTGGCTGTATTATGAAATGCATAGATGATGTGGGAAACGTCCCTGTACCAGAAGTGTAAAGAAAGACATGTAACCCAAATGTGCAGGTATTTAAAAATACAGATTCTAGGACTATGCAGAGTGAAAATAATAAATAGAAAAGCTGTACTAAAGCCTTTCCTTAAACAAGTGTTGAAAACAGTCATGAGAATATGCAACAGCTCTCATCCCAATGTTTTCATTCATCTTAATTGCTATTGTTGTCAAACCCCTTGAATTTTAGGATCATTTTCTTTCAAATCTCATCACACATACTGTAAGCAACACTCACCTGACAAGTCCAGACAATCATCTTATTTCAAGATATAAAAGGCATTAACAATCCTCCTGATGGCTCATTTAAATCTCAGTTGAATCTACATCTCATTACAAGACACTTTTATTGATTTAGCTATTTGCTGCTTTATTGCAAAATAATGTAACTTCGTACAAGCAATTTAGACCTTATGTATGACTTTATCATTTATATAAAAATCCGTGTTCAACTGGACTTGACAGGTGAATGTGTTATTTCATAAATCTGAGTTTTTGCAGTTCACGATCAGCTGCAGTCATGAAGTTACTCTAAAAACGAGAGGAGACTGTTGTTAGCATGAAACTCATTTCAAACTTGTATGCTCACAAAGGATACTTAGTTATGAATTGACAGACACGTTGAATCTGTTTGTATGAGATATTTTACCTGCTGATAGCAAACTTGGGCTAAAAGCTAACGACTATAGTCAAGACATAACTATCTAGCTCCCGCTGCGACACGAAACAACTTCAATTAAACCAACCTGTGTTTTCCACTTGATAAGAACTGCTGGTAGTTTCCATGTTTAAGACACAAAATAAGTCACTTTAGAGTTATTTATCCAAGTACAAAAAAGGTTGCTAGCCATTTGTTGTTAGCTTCATTGAAACCGGATATACGTAAAACTGCCTTCAAAATAAAAGCACGAAGTTTTGTCCAAACTGTAACGTCACAAACATAGATTTGTTTTCTTTATACAGTCGTAGGGCTTCTGTATTATATTAAAGCTTGAATTGCTTTTCTTAGTATTGTTTGTCAAAAGTTAAAAAGAAATGCTGGCTATTTTTTTTATTTTAAAACCAAACCTATAGTCCATCCATCCATTATCTGTACTGCGTTTCCCATTTGGGGTCTCGGGACAGACCACCTGAGACAGACAACCAGTCACACCTACAGACAATTAAAAGTCGCTAATTAACCAAACGAGCATGTGAGAAGAACCCACACAGAGGATCCTGTCCGAAGGGGATTTGAACCAGGAACCGTCTCGCTCTGAGGCAACAGCCCTAAACCTATAGTCATATAAATGTAAAGGTAGACTTCAAACAATAAACCTAAAATAATAACTTTTTTTTTGTACAGCACACATTAGATCATGTCTGTTTCTGACTATTAACACTCAACTGTACAGTCTCTTAAAGGCCGGTAAATGTGTAGTCATCAAAGTTTTACAAAAACACATTATACTTACTTTAGGTTTTTACACGTCTGACAGCAGAATTGACTCTGCAAAACAATGTAGCAAAGTATACAGACCTACATTTGTACAATAATATAGAGCTTTAAAAGCATGCTGATAGAACTAAAACAGAGCTAATTAAGAAAGGATGTTTGTTTCTATATAACAGGAAAAACAAATTCACCATTTAACTTTTAGGCAAAACACTTTATTTGTAGTATTTCCCATGTGCAAAATTTCCAGATTTTAGTGAGCTGAAGTCACTGCATTACATCACATGCGGTGCACCACTTGCTAAACTCCCACGTCTCTACTATCCTCACAGCGGCCTCAAACGGGTTTCATTAGACGGCTTAGTACAAGAAAAAAAACAGACGCATGACTCCAAAACTTAGTTTGAGACATAACATGTTTAGGAATGCAGTAAGACCACTTAAAGGTAAAATGCCACACAAATCATCATCATCGTTAACAGCGACTAATCTATCACACGTTAAACATTCAGCATGTAAAGGAATAACACATGGTTCATTAAAATACATTTGAGTTGGAACATTTTTCAAGTCCTCATGATGCCCGTTCAACCAATTTAATACGAGTACTTGAAATATATATTTTCCCCATGGCAATATTGTGAATCCATCCATGCAGAGAGACGGTCCCCAGAAACTGGAACCAGGTCTCAGGGTGAAGGAGCGTTGAGGTCCACATCTCTGATATCAGAACGGGACTCAATAGTTCTAGTCAGGGTCCAATCCATCAAGATATTCAATGACGTGATGTTTTCAGTCGAAGCTGGGTTAGTATTTCTGACGGGATCACAGGACCAGAGCTCCATCAGGGCGCAGAATCCAGATGACGGTTTGCTTTACACACACAAAAGAAGATTAAAACCTCAGCCATAGATTGAAAGAACATGATCAATGCACAAGAGACCAACAGTAGTTTGAAGAGACATTAAAGAACATTTTTATAAACACACAGGCAAGGTGCATCTAGTGTCAGACAATAAAGGAGCAAGGAGAAAACAGGAGTTGAGCTGTAAATCATCCTAACTACTGTAGAGGTTTCAGAGTGTAATCATAGAAGGTGAAAATTCATATAATATGGGATCTTTAAAAAAAAAAACTACTCTCGTCATTAAAGGATGCACCGATAAGGAAAATCAGAGGTTGCCGATGATACCGATGTTTGAAATAAAAATGTAGCTGATTGCCGATTCCGACACTGATGTTTATTGCATGACTTCTTTTGATGCAAGACTCCCACAATGCAGACATTTCCTCTCATTTTTAACAATAAAAATAAGTCAGGGTTTGTTCAACAGCTGACTTCTTCTACCCAATAAAAAACCTCCTCTCTGAATCAGTCATCAGGTGTAGTAGATGCCATCATTAAATTGATTTGGCACGACAAATAAACCTCGGCTACTAACATCGGGTCAGGCCACATTATTTCCCGTAGTGTGTCAACAGGGCTAATATCGGCTGATGCCTGTGTCGAACAGATGCACCCTTATTTCCTGGCATAATAACACAATGAAGACGAAAGGCAAACTCAATCTGCAATGAAGCTTTCAGAAAAAAACGAATGAGGTGTCCACTGTACACTTAATCAGAGCGTACACTGCACAGCTGTCCCAAGACTCAGCCTCTAGTTGGACACTTTAATGTTAACCTCACAATTATATAAGATTAAGATTTACTTTATTGATCCCTGCGAGGGGAAATTCTGTTTTGACACTCTGTAAGTCATGAACACACACACAGGCTGAAATATACACACATGCACAAACAGGATCCTATGGACATCCACTAACGGAGAGATGTCAGAGTGACGGAGCTGCCCATAGTGGGCACTCCTGAGCTGTTGGTCAGTGCATTGCTCAAGGGCACCTCGGCAGTGCTTATTTTGCACTCTCTTATTTTTAAACATTGCTGTACATATATAAACAACACAACTTCAGAAGGTCAGCACTTCTTTATTTTTATATTCAGGTAATTACAGATTTTTTTCCTCAACTGTTTATAGGTTCTTGATTAAATGTCACATATATTTGTATCTTTCTTGTATACGTCTATTTTTTAATTGCACAGTTTAAGTTTGATTCATCTAGAGGTATTCTTTAAATCTTTCTTTTTTCGGGTTAATATACATGTATGGGGGGGGGGGGGCGTCGGTTTTGTGGTTAATTTGTAACAAATGTTTCATGTCATGTACGTCTTTGTAACCTGCTACTGGATGCTTTGAATTTCCCTCGGGATCAATAAAGTGTCTATCTATCTGATTCATGTTATATTTTGACCACAGCACAGATGTTTCATTTAGACCACAGGGGGGCTGTTTGAAAAGGTGGAGAAGGGGGATAATATGTCTTCTTTAACTTTTAGTTACTCAACTACTAAATCAAAACAATGCTACATCATCAACCTGACTCTGTTACTAACAACATATCAAATCCACACATCTAAATGTTCAGACAGTAAACCATCCTTTCATATCTTTAAAAACTAATTTCATCAATAAATAAGAAAGCTTTCAAAACCATTAATCTGGGTCCAAAGTTTGATGTAATTGTTAAGTGAAGCTGTAACTTTTAATGTTGATGCTGCTTTGTCTTTGTCTCTGGGTCACCTGGCACCTGTCTTTGTTTATCTGATAGCAGTTGTCAATAAAGTCTTGTGAATGACAAAGAGCTGAAATACTGAAGTGTTTTTATTATTTATTAAGAGTCAAAACAGACCAGAGATAAGTGACGACAACGTTTTAACAAGTTGCCAACCAATAACACCAAACATTAGCTTGTTCAAGCTACACAAATATGTGATTTTGTCTTACATAGCTTAACTTTACATTTACAAAATGATTATGTCGACGTATATCTTTGGTCAATATTTGAACAGGCTACCCCACACAAAGGTGCACAGCATTAAGTGGTTAGGGTCCTTGAGGTGTCTCTGCTCCTTGTAATAGCGATAAATATTTAAAAGCCAGTTTAAAACACCCTAAAAAGCGACAATTTCCTACAAAAATAACTTAGCTTATCGGTTTAGCAACTTCCGTAGCCGCACAATCAGCTGAATGTGAACTAGAAACTTCCTCTGAAGCCCACTCACCTGGTCTACGGGACTATGAAGTACATGAAGAGAAAAAACGCGATGTCAAAGAGCAGGAACGCCCAGAAATCAAACCAGTATGAATGTTTGGGCAAAGACACTGGAGCTCCTTTAGATTTTAACATGTTGAAGTTTCCTTCTGACTCCGCAGCGGGAGCGGCGCCTCCACCCATCTTTGCTTTTTGGTTTCAGCTGCGGGGAGAGCTCGTCTTGTTCTTCTTCTTCTTCTTCTTCTTCTTCTTCACGATCAAAGTCGTTGTATTACCGCCACCTAGTGGTTTTTAAACAGTAGTGCAGGTGTTATTTGTTATGTCCAGAATTGCAATTTCTGTGGTCAGATCTGTGATGAAAGTATCTGAAGTTTGTATCAGAGGTGTATCTAAGTGGGTATCTAAGTATGATTGTTTGCCTTATCAGAGGAAAGACTAAAAAAATAAAATAATTCAACACATATTGAACTTTTTTCGCAGGAGATTTAAGATCCCTGATGTCACCATACTCTACATCTGATTGATGCCATTGTATTTTATTATAGATGTATTTCTTGCACTTTACTAATAATAACACTAACAACATTTCCTACCCTCGACAATGACACAAGAAAAGTGACAAATCATAGCAGCATAATCCTTTTGAAATGTTGCTTAGTTATCTAATTTAGTTATATCAGCATGATTTCAAGAAGGTTTAGTTTCTTACTAAGCTTTATATGTGTGTGTATATATATATATATATATATATTTGGTGTCCCTTTATTCTTACATCAAAAGAGACACATTTTCGGGGCTGTGAGTTAACAGGAGCTTTGCAGCAAAGCTTCAAATTCATTCAAGTCCAAGGTGACATTTTGCTCCAAACACAAGCTGGGTTGTATCTGCCTAACAGAGTGAATTTATTGATTCTTGGTTTTATCTCAAAGTTATAAATGCTGATATATACACCCCTCTTCTTGAGTATCTGTTTTTAATGTATAAAGTAACAGTACTTTGCCTGCTTTGATGCCTCACTACACAGCAGCCTCTACCATCAGTGTGTGAATGTGTAGGTGTGACCTGCAGTGTAAAAGCGCTTTGAGTAGTCAGGAGACTAGAAAAACACTAGACAAGCTCAAGTCCATTTACAATTTACCACACAAACAAAGATAGGACACAAAGAAAAGCTCAGCATACCGTTTGCTCGTGTGACACCAAATACCATTTATTAGGGCTTTACAAAGACTACAAAATCCTCCAGATGAGTTAAATCACTGTCTCTGTCTATTTACATGATATGTTACATACAAATGTACAAAATATAAAACATTTAAGGACAAATGTTTCACCCAAAAAGAAAAAAGAAACATTTTTTTTTTCTTAACCCAGAGTAAATGCTATATGGTTTTCAACTGAGATTTAACTGCGAAGTGTAATGTGGGGGAAAATACCGGTTGATAATTGAGACTATAGTGTACACTGTTTACGGTGTCAACGTTCTGCGTGCTCGAGAACTCATGCGCCTATAACAGGAGAGTGTTTGAATTATTGGAGATCTAAGCTGTATGATATGTGGGCGTAACTGTAGGTGCGGAAGAACCCGTCACCACAGTAACTACCCCCCTTATCCTGCAACTGCTGCCCACCTTTGCAGACACAAGGTCGTCCACGGCGGTCAGATAAATCAAAATAAATGCGAGGCTTGGCTGCAGAGACACGGGAGAAGCTGAACACAGGTAGGATTGTAGAGGATAGGATTGTCCTGAGGTTGAGAGAACATGACGTCTTGGTCTCTGATGGGCTTCTTACTGACCAGTAGCACCTGTTGGTTTGTCGTTGAATGTATACAGTACGGTGTCAGGTCAGCTTCAGTGCCTCGGACAGCCTGCGAGCCTAACGTGGCGGTACGCTTGGGTTAAAATGTCCAGAGAGGAAGTGCTTCTAAGGAACAACAGGCATTCCTAAAGACGGGAAATATGGGGGAATATAGTGGGAAAGTGTCTATATCGTGTTCTCAGGATGTGATTTTTTTGTGAGTTAAAGACAGTTCGATACTGTACACCGTATACCTCCTGCATAGGCAAAACATCCAACCACCACAAGACACACACCTGCTTCTGACAGCATGTCGGGTTTTTGCATTTCTTTTTTTTTTCTCTCTCCGTTCTCGCTGTACAATAATTTACTCAGCGGGTTAAGCATATTGTAACATCAACAGGGCAGAATGCATCTTTGATTTACTGTGCAAGACTTAAGTATATACAACCCACCCCAACCTCATCGTGTGCAAAACCAACCCACTTGATAAACAAAGAGAGGACAATCAAAATTCTAAATGGCTTCCGTCCGATACACGCATACATAAAGGTCTCTTCTCAATGCATCCCCGTTTAAAAAGCTTCAAAACATGCTCGTCAGGCTAGAAAACCCAAAATCCGTTTGGTTGTGCTCCTGTCAGTTCAAGTGAGCCCAGCTCAACTGGGCCAAAAAACAACTTAAAAAACACCCCACCCCTTTTCAAATGTTTTTACAATATTGGTCAGATATAATTCAAATACAGCATCAACTCTTTTATACTTTAAATGTCAGAAACAATAAAAGGGAGGTTTGGAGGAAGAGACTTCAACAATAATTTAAAAAAAGAGGCTGTTTTTTTTGTTTTGTTTTTTACTACTATCAGCTTCTTTGACGTAGCAGGAAGCAGATAATCATCATCCGACATCACATCTCTATTTCTCACTATAGCCAATGGGAGCGCAGGACGCATCCCAAATCTTTGCACAATTAAGGCAGTGAGAAAGCACCAGTATCATTGTTCCATTACTCAGCTCTCGCGCTGATCTTGCATTGAGAAATACTTTGGATTCTTTTTGGTACAACAAAGATCTCAGATGGATGCAGCTGCTGAGCACGACGATCACATGAGAACCAGAAGCTTCCACATACAGGACACTGTCAGCTCAATATCACTCATGTGTTCTTATAATAGCTCTGTATCATATCTGTTCATGTTAGACTTTCAGGTTTATTTATTTTTTGCTTAGTTTTCCATAAAGGTTACCCTCTGACTTCACTTACGACTGACCGTTAGCTTAGTCCCGACTACCAAAGTCACTGTTTCTGTTTGTCAAGCTTTAAATCCTCACATCTATTTTTTATTTTAAATAACACGTGTATGTTGCGTCTAAATCTCGTCATCATTTTTGAAACTATGGTTCTTGAGTGTTCAGAATGAAGATAAATAAAAGCAGCCGCTCAGCTTTGTCAGCTGTAGCTTCATGAAAAAAAAGAGCTAGTAAGCTAGTTTTTAATGTTTAATTTATCATTTTTTTAAATGATACTCTTGATAAGGTGATACAAATAATACAAGCCCAAAAGACTGAGGCTAATGATACAGGTCTTACTAGCTTAATCGACTGGTGAGGAGTCGATTAAGCTAGTAAGACCTGGGCCGTGTGTGAAATCACTTCCTTTTCACTTTTAGGTGAGTAGGTGAATGAGTGTATGATTTCAGACACAACCCTGGTGTTTTTTAAAGGATGAGAAAAGACAAAGGAAGGAAAGACTATTCGATTCTATCCGCTGTGGATGATAGAGTTGAAAGTTGTTCTACTCCTAACTGAACACATAAAGAAGTTTAGGGGGTAACACTGAGTAAATACTGAGGCTGCAAGCTGGTTAACCAATTATGAAAAGTGCTAATATGAAAATTGTTGCTTATATTTGCAGCTATTTCCTTATATTTAAGTTTTATTTTCTCACATTTTAACATGTGGAGGAGTTTTAAGCTTGACAAACATAGCTATCCTTTGAACATCTGTTGAAGTTAAGCTAACGGTCACTTGAAACATTTCTGTGATGACCCACAGAGGGCGCTTCATGCTGTTTTTGCGGTGAATTCTTAACTGAAGAGTGACAACAGGCCGTGGAGCGTGGAAAGCCAAGAACAATACTTAATCTAAGTATACAACCATGGTCCGCTGTGAATCGTGGGTGTGTGCGTTTGTGTGTTTGTGTGCACGTTTGGCAGTAAATCAAAGGGAAACATTGGCACTTGTCTACTTCCTTTCTTCACAGTAGCAGCGTTGCTGGATGACACACAGACAATGCGCTTTTTTTCGTTGTGCTTGTTGTTGGCACGCAGGGCAGCGAGGAGCGGCTTGGCAGTGCCTGACACTGTGGAGGTTCAGGGAGGGAGACCAGCACCATGAGGCTCGACTGACCCCTGAGGAGGAGGGCTGTGAGCGCTATGTCATGAAAAAAAGTCATTCTTGTGACGCTAGTTTGACTATAGAGGCTCAGCGAATTTCTACATCACGGAGTTGCAGAATTGTCTCAATGCGCAGGAAAGGCAAAGACCACCCGAATAAGATGATATAGTGGTAAACAAGGAGAGACGTATCTAAAGTGGTGACTTTTAAGAAGCCAGTTTAATTATACAACAGATTGTTGGCTTTTCCATTACTTAAAGCACAAGCAATTACATTTAAACTGATATGTGATTGAAGAAATTCAACAGTTGAGAGCCTCCATTTTGACCACTAGAGGGAGTTAAATCACCTAAAACGCCCCAAAATCTTCCTCTTAGTGAGACAGGCGGGTTAGACGTGGGGGTCCTACAGTGGTATAAAAAAGGTGCCATGCTCAATGACATTTCAGCAGGCTGGATTGTTGGTCACATGGGGGGGCTTAGACCAATTGAAGCCCCTGATTAAAGGCCGGCGTCCTCCTGCTGCCTGTGTTTAAGTGCATGTGTATGAATGTATGTGTCTGTGTGAGAAGCACCTCTGTAAACAAGGAGAGACATAAACAACAGAACCCTAACCCCCCCCCCCCCCCCCCCCCCATTGTAAACATCTGAATATATATCTGGGATAAAAAGAAAAGAAAAGAAAAGTCCAGTCTTGTTAAGACAAACTCTTGGCTTTTTCTTTTTTTCTCGACACTTTGGAGACCCAAAGTTCAACTTAAAACGAGTGACGGGATTTACTCCTCAGAGGTCGACTTCAGAGGAGCCTCTGTCCCTCGTCAGACATGACCCATTTACACACATATTTGAAAAGTCGTACTCTAAAATGTCATACATCCATTGTAAAATGACCAGTCCAAATGAAATGTATTGAAAATAAAATGGAGCCGATTTCACAATAGTTTCGCATTTTGATCCCTTAGGACTAAATATGATCCTCCTCTTTAAATATGATAATCTGATCAAATATTTCACCTTTGTCAGGTTAAAAAAAAAAGTGTTTTCTGTGAAACGCCGGGTATACCATTCTGGATGATAAAACTTTTCATATACGATGCATCCGTGCACTTAAGGGATGTCTGGTAGCGTTGGAGGGCTCAAAGCGTCCCGGGTGTCTCATAGAGCCGACTCAAGCGAGGAGTCCAGCTGGTCGTCATGGTGACTGGTGCTGTCACTGTCGCAGCTCTGCGTGCTCGAGTAGTTAGCTGCCTCCTGCAGCCGTAGCAGCATGTTCATCTGACAAACAAATAAAGATAGGAAATGCTTTGAGTTACACAGGAAAATGAATACCAACATCAGAAACACGTAAGACATTTAAGGTGTCATTACATATGTATCCCACCTAACGTTTGTATTTGGCTTATAGTAGAAGATTTTTAGATTTGTTTGTATGCTAGAATACAATACGGTGCGATATGATACAGTACAATACAGTACAGTATGGTATGGTCAACACAGCCTATTACAAAAACAAACCCTTACTAGAAGACCTCAGAGACCCTGGTGAAATATGCTCTTAGCAGTTTTCCTAAAGTAGGCAGAAGGTCTTCTTATAAATCTCGTACTGAAATAAACGGCCTGTACTCCATTTTCATGCTCACACTGAATGTTGGCATGCAGCCCACAGACAGCACTGTCCAATGATACAACTACATCTTCAACTACAGAACGATTAGGAACATGTTTTCAGGGACAACCTGCATGTGGGTGCATTTGATTTGAGCTTTACTGTGATACCTTTTTTTGAGTGAATAACTTGTGTTCAGATGTGCTGGCTCTCTCTCATTTCACCTAAACACCCCTACTTGTGTTTTGTTGTTCCTCATAGGTCTTTATAGAAAAATAAAGACGGTGAAGAGAAGAGACAAACACACTGAAATGACTTATCCATCATGCACCTTAATGACTCACAACCTTTAATCTTTATCACAGCAACTGCAGGATCTTCTTATCCCTGCTAGAGAGCTAATGGTCTGAATAATGCAGACTTGCTGCTGCATCTGGTTTTAAGTGTTCTTAAAATGAGCCCAGGTACACCTGCGCTCGAACTGGTCCGAACACACACACACACACACACACACACACACACACACACACACACACACACACACACACACACACACACACACACACACACACACACACACACACACACACACACACACACACACACACACACTTGCTAAATGAAGCAAGTTATTTTTGGATGACTGCTCTTTAATTCCTCTTGGGCTGCAATAACCCCCAACTGTGAATTAAGTCTCTCACTACACTATTCCAATAGTCCATCTTGTGTGTGTGCATGTGTGTGTGTGTGTGTATGTGTGTGTGTGTGTGTGTGTGTGTGTGTGTGTGTGTGTGTGTGTGTGTGTGTGTGTGTGTGTGTGTGTGTGTGTGTGTGTGTGTGTGTGTGCTTCCAAGGTTATGTTCAACTAAGCAACTTTACTAGCCACTCTACTTATTGAATGTTTTACCTGGAGAAAGCCAGAGTTTCCCCCTCCAGGTTTCTTTGGAAGCATCCTTGATGTGAAATCTTAACTACACATTTGAGTCATGTTTATAGATTTACACTACGTTTGATTTATTGAACTGAACGGTCTGTTTTGGGATTCAGATGGTTCACATGGCGAGGACAGTTAATTAGAGAATTGGATGATTTTATTCACTCACCAGTGGGTCTCCCTCCGTGTCACTCTGAGACACCTGCTTGGATGAGGCTCCCTCCTTGGATGAGCTGTAGCCTTCGTATCCGACGTCCTCCGGCCTGAGCTGGAGCAGCGACTGGCCTTCTTGCTGGCGAGCTGCGGCGTTCCACGGATACGTGTCGTTCACCCACTTGGCTGGATCCTCCCATGCTGCTCTTTTGCCGTACAGCTGCAATTATGCAAAATGTATAAATGACTGTTCAGCTTGATGAAGTCAAAACTATAAGAAAAATCACCACCTATATGGTGAGTACCAATAACGAAATGAACTATTGATCTGTTTTTATACCAGGCTGTTAACATTTTAATTTCTGCTGTTAAAAGGGGCATTTTAATGTCAGACCTAAATGGAAATCTTTTTTCAGCCAGTCTCTAGTTCTAGTTCATATTCTAATTTGATCAAATGACTCATAAAAATAATGCTTGATTTCAAGATAGAAGTTTAGATTGGCTGGTAAGTCTTGTTGCATCTTGGGTGTTAAATCCTGAGGGTTGATTCTAGTGCATCTATGACGTACCTGAAGCCCCTCCCTGACCGCCTCCAGCAGGTAGGGCACCAGAGAATAGTTCCAGAGGTCAGTGAACCAAACCCGAGAGCCTTCGACATCCATGGGACACGACAGGAAGAGACGGGGGCCTGCAGGGACAAAAAAGCCCCAATTGATAAGAGTCTTGATACAATCAGGCATTATTTAAGAACCTAATGAGGTCAGACGTTGGCTAAATTTAGACACAATACAGGCGTCTGTAACAGTCTAAACAGAGAGAGGCAGCTGTGTGTGTGTGTGTGTGTGTGTGTGTGTGTGTGTGTGTGTGTGTCTGAGTCTGACCTATTGTGACATCAGAGGAGCTGTGAGCCTCCAGGAAGCCGTTGAGGTGCTGCCAGGTCTTGGGGATCCAGTCAATGATCTTAATCAGGTCATTGCTGCGCATGTTCTTATTGATCTCCGTCTCAATCAGCTTCCGCCGCAGGAAACGGCCCAGGAAGCCTTTGACTGGCTCGGTGTGGTTGGTGCACAGAACCCACCTACAGCGGGACAGATTATCGATGGTGAGTGGTTCCTTCAGCTCGATATTAAAGCAAAAAAATCTGATTAATAACCTCTACATAAAGATGATTACACTGTTTTTAAGAAGAAAGGTTTTTACGCTTACTCTCTTTAATATAATAGATTTCTTTTTTAATTAGCATCTGGCTGTGATGGGCTTTTCATTACGAGTCAATATTTACCAAATGATCATCCAGTCAAACATGCCAAGCAGAAACGATTCTGCACTATAGTCTATTTATTTTCATTGAACGAGACTAATTATCCGAGAGATGTAATTACAGCCCTCCCTCCAGATACAAGCCTTCAATTTAAGGAGAAATAACACGTTGGCAGAGAAGTGAAATCAAACACACTATCTGACAGGTGAGACTATGAGAGTCAACAGAACCACAAGTCATCACTCGTTGTAAACAATAACATCTGTGCACATAACAACAAAATATTGAATCAACGGCACACAAACCTGAAGTTGTGGTGGAGCTCGAGGTTGGGAGAGGAAGACACTCCCTGGTTCATGGTCCCAATAACATAAGGGCTGGACGGACACAAAGACAATGAGTTATTCACTGTCATTTCCACGCAGCTATTATAAATAAACAGAGACGGATTGTCAATTGCTGCATTCTGTGAAGACGGACAAGGGTGCATTTATTAAAGGTCACATATTATGCTCCTTTTAAACCAGTTTAAATAAATCTTAGATTTCCTCAAAACATGTCTGTGAAGTTTCTTGTTCTAAATCCACTCTGATCCTGTATTTGATCATGTCTATAAACCCCTCTATTTCAGCCCTGCTCAGAACAGGCTGTTTCTGTGTCTGTACCTTTAAATATGTAAATGAGCTGTGTCTGACCACGCCCCCTATCTGGAAGGGCTTGAGTGACTCGTGCTTTCTTGCACCATGCATTAAACATGTGTTATGAAGTGGGCTTTAAAAGAAACTGTGTACAAACAGTTCCCTCTGCTCTGATTGGATGAGACATTTTTTTAAATTAAATTTTATGCAAATGTTGGTGTGATCAGTATGAACCGACAACCAACCCGAATTTGCAATATATGGTCCTTTCCATAATATAGTGAACTGTAGCCCCTGCCTGTATTGCAATATGATAAAAATCATTTTGCCAGATTCTTACCAACACACGTTTAAGATTTAAGATACACTGTAAAAAAAAAAGTTACCTTCAGATAACAGTCAAGACTGTTTTATTTTTGAATGGTGCATTTCTGACTCACCATTTGTGGTATTTGCAGTTCAAGAAGCCGTTGAATATGTCACTGAGAGAACCGATGTGGTGCAGATTGTCCAGGATGACCACAGTGGGGAGCTCTGTGTCCGTTTCCTCAGAGTTACACTGTTCTGCCAGTGTGGACAGGTACTGACGCAGGTCCTGGAGGAGAAAGCAGTTATAGATGCAGTAATCTGAACATAAAGGGCTTAACATGAGGGCTTTACAAAGTTTGGAAAAAAGTGTCCCTTTTTGCCATTTTTATTCATATTAAACTCTCATTATATATTTGAGCTTAAAACAAAATGTAGAGGGGATTAACATTTAATTCATTTAAGCTGCTGGTACATTTATTTTCTCAGGATTAAAGATGATCAAAAAACATCAGAAGAAAGTGTCAGGTTTGTAGAGCAAACAGGTCAAATGCAAGGCACAATTTGTCAGAACACACAGTGGCCATGGCGGTAGAAAAACATTGAAGAGAGACCAGTTTGTTCAACAGTGATGTGCAGTGACTTGTCATCCACACAGGATGGGATGGTGATAGATGATGAAACTCACTTTTCAATGTGTTGGGTGTGAGGTACTGCTATTGTGTTATATCATGATCTTTGAACTCTTCCCTGGTGGATGACGGACTAAGGAGCTTCAGGTGATCATCACTCTCAGTCAGGGGTGTGTCCAGACTTTTTAAAACTGGGGTGGCCCAACTGACTTGTGCAGGCGTGGCCTGAACTTTGTGTGCTCTATTGTCCCCTTCTGTCTGCACTAATCGACTTTTAAGTAACACAAGACCATGGCAACATAAACATCTCCTTAGCTTAATTCTCGACGACTCAAAACAATATGTATGTCTGAAGTCACAATTTAAAGTATTCAAAAATTGCAAACAAACATCCGCCCACTGAACACTGTGAGCTGCCTGTTGCAACACAGCCTGATTAGTGGATTTCAAGGCCCACCTCTGGCAAGGCAATATTTTTGGGGAGGCACCTGTGGTGGCCAATAAGATTTCAAGGGGGCCCCCCATGCCATCCCTGACCACCCTCTCTGGACACACCCCTGATCTAAGTGGCTCTCTGATTGGTTGATTCAAAAATAAACCTGTTTAGTTGTGTATATATACATGGAAATGTTCTTTTCTGCCATTATTGCCATTTGTTTACTTTCAATTAGTTTCAGTGCCTTGGTCTGCATGTGCCCTGTAACCTTCGAGTCCCCTGCCTCCTTCCTCCTCATAATAGTGTGCGGGAGCTTTTCTCATTGTCTTTAAGTTTTACAACAGTGATGTAACCATCACTTTACACAGTTCATTGAAAGTATAATGATATTGGATTCACATGAATCATCATTGTTTATGGAAAGGTAATCTGGCAGATTTGTATTTTGTTTCTAAACTAAAGCATAAGCACTACAGTCCTACTGAAATGGTATTTTTATGTAACTGATTACAAACTTCAGAGGGGACACGTAGCCATCGCAGTGACCTCTCTATAAACTCTCCAGAAGTCATGATAAATTCTTTGTATTTATAAAACGGATTGTTAGGGGCCAAATGGCAATATGGATTATTTATGGTTGTAAATAGAAAAGAGCCAAACATTAATGCAATTGAATTATTTGTTTATATTATTGTTTATTCTGTTTTATTTTGGTTTTACCGTTTGTTAATTGATTTGGGGGTATTTGTGCGTATTCTACCTTGCTGGAGTTCTGGTCCACGTTGAAGCTGGCCACGTTGTGCTCCGTCACCTCCTGCCCCATCTGAGAGATGATGTACTCGGCCAGCTTAGCAGCAAGGAAGGATTTGCCCGTGCCGCTGGGTCCTGAGAGGATGATTCGTCGATGCTCCATCAACAGGTTGAGGTACCGCTGGACTATGGGTTTGGGGATCAGCGTGTCGAACACCAGACTGTCGATGCTGTTTTCCTTCACACCTGGGAAGAGACAGGAACGAAGAAGGGAATTATTTGGATTGACAGAAGAAAGAGAAGAAAATGATTGTACCTGAAATTCATCTAAAATGAGGTTCAACTAAGAATATATATTTTTAAGTCACAAAACCTTTTCCTTTCCTTGACACTTTCTACACGAGCATGTTTCCTGATATAGAAACTCCCTGTTCCCCTGCTGCCGTACCTTTGAGGTTGACCTTGATGACATTGTTGTCGCCCACCAGGTAGCCGCAGGGAAGCAGCTCAGGCACTTCAGAAGTGTGGGAGCGAACCACCTCGCCCATCCTGTAGCAGACGATGCTGTCTGAGCTGAGGCCAAGGCTGGTAAGAGGGTCCACACGAAACACGTACTCCTACAGGCAGAGAGCGAGAATGAAGGACCGCACAACTGGTGCTTAAATATAGACTGTGATTCTTGTTGTGCTGTAAAAAAAAAACTGTGTTTGTCTGTGAGAGTTAAACAATAAGTTTGGCACAATCGATTTGTAAAATCAACAACTTTTACACATCAAACAGAAACTAGTGGGTGATATTGTGAATAATAAAAACTCTGTTCTTCAGTCTGAGTTCATAATAAATTTGTTTGACCTTTAAGTCTGCAGTAGTTTGTATTTTTGTAGAACTCTCAAGCGTTAATTTTCACGTTAACATCAAAGACAAAAGGTATGGCTTTATACATAAGTAGGATGCAGCATGACACATTTATTCCTGACACTAAGTTAATATTAACACCTTGAAGTAATCAAAGCCTGTATGTGGCTGTATAGCTCAAGAATTTGTAACAATTTGTTTTATCCTGAAAAGTATATGAATTTTAAACTTGATAAATATTCAACAATTTATGTCTAAATTATTTTCTAAACAGGTAAATGACTAATCATCCACACCCCACAAAAACACCTTGATCAGTGCAGATTTCTTTCTTAAGTGTTCACACAATCTTATGTTTGAAAAGTTGATGAACAAATCTTCAATTCAAAGTTAATTATCACCTTTTATATGGGAAAGATCCAAAGGACGCTTCTAACCCTAAACATATAAAATCCAAAACATTTACCCCCTATGTCTTCTAATATGGTGTCAAAAAGAAACTTGGTCTTGGGATGTATTTTCAGGAGCTTGATGGTAGGAATAATACATGAATGTTCCAGTCAGCAGAGTGTCTCTATAATCCTCTCGCTGCTACACGCTGCTATATGTCACTTGAAGGTGTAACTTTTGTGTCCTGTATACAGGCTTGAGTAATATAGATTTGAGCATTTAAAGCATTTTGTTCAGAGAATATTATGGACTCATGATGAGACTGACAGAATGGAGGGGACTGGGAGAGAAAAGAGTTTTAACAAATCCATCTGCTGCTTCAGCACCACGGACAGCGCCCAGTACTTATCAACACCCACAAGTTCAATTTCCACTTCATACTGAGCCACAGTTGGTGCGATTAAGTCCAACGTGTTGGATTGCAGATTAATGACGGGGTTGTTTTCTTAGAAGAAGTCAAAGCATGGCAATGTGGCATCATGCCAAAGATCTAAACAGCAAATTAAACAGTTTGGAAATAACATTTTTTTTTATCAACATCTGCTTGGCTTATTTTATAAATCGAAATGAATGGAACGATCTTCATTGTTTATTTGGACATGTTTCACCAAGTCAAAGTATCTGTGAGAGAAGAGAAAGAGCTCGTATGTGACCTTATGAACACGGCCTGTTTACCTTGAAGAGGCGTCGGATTACTCCATCCAGGACATCCCACTTTGTTTTGCCGCTCACACCGATCGAGCCAATCAGGTACTCCTGACTATGTTTGCCCTAAAGAGTGGTCGGAGAACAAATACGATTTGGAATACATGCCATTGGAGGTAAAAGATGGATGAACGTGAAAGTCTTCATCATTCACTGACCTTGGTGGTCTTTGGCCCTCTGCTGATGGCAACCACTATTCGTACGCTCCGGCCCTCCTTGCGTAGATTTCCCTCGTAGCCGTCGTCCAGCAGAATGTCTGAAAACAAAAACCTTCTGTGAGGAAACACAACCAAATTTAATCTGCCAGAGCCATGAATCATCGTAAACAAACTATCTCTCTCTCTCTCTCTCTCTCTCTCTCTCTCTCTCTCTCTCTCTCTGCCTGCTGGCAAATTACAGCTGGAAACGGACAAACAGACTCCAAAGTGAACGATAGCTAATGGGTTTCTTTCATGTGATAATGACTTTTGTGTTTAATCAATGTTTTCACACCGAGCGATGAACGGGGAGTGCATGGAATTAATAATGTTAGACTGGCTGCGTGTCAGGAAATTAAAGTAGAATCCAAAAAGTAGAGAGACAAATAATATTTGAGAAATGAGCCAGGATGAAAAAAATCATTCACTGCGAGGTTCATGTGAGGTATTTGTTGTGAAATGAACTTTCATGTGTCAGAGGATGTGTAACAGCAGGATGGAACGAGCAGAAGAAAAGACACTTTTAAAGGAATGGCTTATTAATCAATCAATCAATCAATTTTATATTTGAATAGCGTCAGCGTACAGCGTGTTATCTCGAGATACTTTACAAAAAGCAGGTAAAAGTCCTTACTCTTTGTATTTTAATATTACAAAAGAGAAAGTAAAAGACCTTACTTATTGTTATGTTACAAAGACTTAATCCATCATGAGCACTTTGAGCAAAGCAGCAAAAGTTACATTGGTAAAAAAAATTGCCTTATTAAAAGATGATTATGATTGCTGTTAATCTTAAAAGGGAGAAGACTCTTATCAGACAACACCATCATCTAACAAGATAAAGCAGCTATCTCACAAATTTCACAGACCTGAAGGCAAACCGGAGTCTTGGTTTGTTGAGCTCCAGATTTGACTTTTATGGACGATCAAACGGCAACAAATTCCTTAAATTTGACTCTCAGGTGCAAGAGAACTTAAAGGAAGAATGAGCGACACTTAAAGCATAATTAATGTGTCTCTGAGTCATGACTATCTACAATGAGTGAGAAGCTCGAGTCCCTCCAGCTGTGTTGTTGTTGGAGCTGTGTTTACATCATGTTTAAATGGATGAGACGGCCTTGCGTTTAAAGCTGTCTCAGTCAAGGACTAGAGAAAAGAAGAAGAACATACTCTCTGTTTATTTGGATGTCATGTAAGTATCTTTAGATCTCAATCATTCTGTGTCTATTTATGTGCAATATGAAGCTATGAGCTAACTAAAGTGTGCTAACATTAGCATGCTAACACAACAATGCAGACCACAGGCAATTGCAGCTCGAGCAAAGGACAAGTTAGTCCGCCGGTAGCTCTTAATAGTTTTTTTAATTATGGTGCATTCTCATTGATAACTCCTTTGTGCAAACAGGAGTGTAGAGGGGTTGGAGGTGTGCTGCTGGAGGAGAGCAGAGCCTTCAGAATAGAAGAGGTGTCGCCAAACAGCAGTTTGAGCAAGAGAGAGCAGAGAGCAAAGTGTTTGTTTCTCTCTTTAAACTTTATTTTAAAAAGTGGCTTGATTGCTTATTGCTCTATTTCATTCACAAGCTATTGGCTTAATCTGTCTGGCTGTCTCTCCATGGTTGAGTAAGTCGGTACAGTAAGAGTAAACAGCATTTTCTCTTGGAGAAGATTTATTTTGTTGTCTGTGGCAATCAAAATATCTAGGTTTCTGTTTATTCCACTTCCTGTTGTTGTTGTTTTTTCTGCCTTGTTAATTATGATTTTGTTTCACGGACAGCGTTGGATTTTTTCCCTCCCTCGTGTTGTTTTTTTGTTCCTGTCAGCAGTTCACTGTACAAAGAAAATTTTCTAGAACATTCCTGTTTAAAAAAAACTCCCTTTTGCACTATTTAAGACGAGAGAAAATATGAAGTCAGGCTGTGCAATATGTTGCATTGAAGGCAACAAGCAGCGTTGAACTGCTAGTCTAACAATGATGATTTTAAATGTATTTTAATTATGTAAAATAAATCCTTTCTATTCAACAGCAACGTGATGCTGCCATAAACAAAGCCCAAGGAGCAGTGAGAATGTACATTAAAGCTGAAGGATTGACCCCCCCCCCCTCCCCCCACTAAAAGGGTTAACTTTTAGCGGTGGTGTGAAGGACCCAGGTGATGTCCAACAGAATGAGAACTCCAGTCTCCATCTCTTAGAGAGAACAGAGCAGCAGGATGGAGAGGAGTTCTGGTTGACTCACAACATTCAGCAGCATGTTTATTTGTATTCCAAAACAGATGTTGAGTTTCTGCTGGACAATTTCTCTGTTTCACCGCTTTGTTAATAATAAAATAAATATTTAATGTTTAATATGTTTAACTGTCAGTGCAGGACCTATTTAAATAAACTGAGACATGACCTGGGGAACTGGCTTAGACCTTTGTTCAGGTCAAAGCAACAAAAAACAATGTCCAACGCCTAACTTTGGTTTGGATCCGTCGATCCATTTATCGTAAGCCACAATTTTACTCAACTAATCTGAATACATAATTAGCAATGTCCAATAAATAACAAAATATAAGATGTTACACTGACATCATACTTCAACACTGACACGGTGAAGAACTTTTTGTCTCCATTCACACCTTGTGCCAATCACCTGCAGTCATAGCCCAGCACAACAGTGTTCAAAGGCAGAATTACATGCAAATCTCCAATTTGCACATTTGGGCTCCAACAGTTATGTTTAAGGCCTCGTACAACCATGGGGCACAAAAGAACAAAACGTACCAATATGCACAAAATAGACACTAACACTCACAGTTTTCTACTTCAAGCAAGTTTGAATTCTTTGTTTCCTTTTACCGTTCACATTTGACGACAACAAAACAAACGACCAACAACTTTCATCATAAGTCTCTCTTCACTCTGTAAGTCCCACACTGTTTAGAAGAGGGAGGGCCAGATATTTTGTACTCGGCTGTGCTTCCCTTAGCTGACGGCTCTGTGTTGGGGTGATAACAGCCCGTTAGCCCACTCGTCTTCCCACGCGCCACCACCGCTCTCAGCTCATCCCTCCATCAATTAACGAGGGCCCGAGTCCTCCGGGAGAGCTGCGCCTTCGATGTTAATTACAGGACAAGTGAGAGGGACCAAACTCTTTCACTTCTCAGCAGAGCAGGCCAAGAGTAATATTCAGCATGTTCGTGTGTGTGTGTGTGTGTGTGTGTGTGTGTGTGTGTGTGTGTGTGTGTGTGTGTGTGTGTGTGTGTGTGTGTGTGTGTGCTCCAGCTGTGTTGTGAGCCCTCGCAGTAGAGAGAGAGATAGAGAAGCTGTTTCATCATGACATGCGGCTCCTCCGGATCATTTCTTTCTGCAAACACAATTCTCTCACTCTTTTTCTGAGGCATGCACAGAGAGAGCTTATCCAACTTGATGCCACAGAATAAAAAATAACTTGTGCTCTGGGAGCTCCTGCAGACCATAAGGGGGGTGTCCTGTGGTTTAACTAGACATAAGAACATACCATAACCCATCAGCTAAAATAAGAGGAAAACAAAAACCAAACTCGTCCTTCTTTAGAAACACAGACAGCTATGTTTCTGTGAACTGACCTGACATGATGGTGTCGGTGATGTTGAGGTTATTGAGCGACAGTCCAAGGGACTGGCGCGAGGAGGACGAGGACGTGCTGGAGGTCTCGGAGGGCGGCCGGGCCGTCTTCACAGGCGTGGCCGTCGGCGTGGCGTTCCCGCTGGACTTAAGACGATCGTTTTCTGCTTTCAGCGCCTCGATCTCATTCTGTGGACGACAAAAGGAGTGAAAAAATGGAAAACGCAGTCAAAGACTCTGGTGACGCTCAAACAGCAGACGGTCATTTCCCTGCAGTCACTGTTGTTATACGGAATCAGTATTATTGGGATTTCAGGCTGTTAGCAGCTGTTTGATCTTCAAGGCGCTCTTTGTACTGAAGGGTAAGTCTCAGATAAGAAGCCTTACACAATCCAGGATCTGAGGGGAGACTTTTAACTTCTACAGAAAAGGCAATCCACGTCTACAAAGATCGACTTAAGGGAGACATCTATGGTGATGTCTTTGAGCGTGTCCTCCTTTTAAGAAAAGGAAATGACACAGCACCTCTGAACATTAGACTCTGAACCCATGGGTGGCGTCTCGTTGCAATACATTTAAAATGAACATATAAATATATCAAGTGAATGAAAACACTGAATTTCTGTTAAACTTCATGGGCGAGTAAAAGATTCATCCCACTTTCTGTAGAGAGATCACCTGACCTCAAAGATCAAGTCAATGACAAGTCATTAAATAGCTGCTAGTTTCAGATGAAACAAAGACAGCTCAGAGCATTGTGCTATAATATGTTATGGTCTTTAATGTTTCTATTCACACACACAAAGTTGAGCTCAAAAATCCATGTAGAGCTACTCAAATTGTACTCATAGGTATGTTATGGAATAGATACTGTATGTGCTGTGGGTGAACTTAAGATGTCTTGGTAGACTGGGATTTTCATTTCTTACCTGATAAAACCAGATACTCTCTGCTTCCAGTTGTTACCTTGGGCTATGCTAAGCTAAAGCTAAACCAAGGTGACCAGCTCAAGCTACATTTTGACCTGACAGACGTGGGAGTTGTATCGACCTTCTCTCATAACTCTTGAATAACTCTGGTATTCCAATACAAGTTTGAACTATTCATTGAAAACCACGAGTACAATCATGTCCTGACTGGCAACATTCGCTTCTACACAAGCTCTGAGAGAAGTGGAAAAGGGGCTGTAAGATTTCTTGATCGTCCGTTTATAATAAAAGCCTGATTTGTTGCCCAACCTGTAACCTACAATAGACATAGCATAAATGTATGTTTGTATGTAAGATCAGCTAGTTTCTGCTGGTGCCCTGTGAGACTGACCGCGTTGGTAATTTCCTAACTGTCATGCTTTGATGCCTTTGAGGGAGAAAACATTCTCAAATAAACTGGACAGACGGATTAAAGTATTAGTTTCTCAATGAGATGCATCGTCTGATGAGACTGTGTGGTTTGATGAAGATATATCAACGGACCAAACACTGAATTAGTCACGCTTTTGCAAACAGCCCTAGCCTCACCTGCATGCGGTTCATGGCCTCTCGGATCTGGTCCAGGTGGTGGGCGGAGCTTAGCGCCTCTAGCCGGATGTCCGTCAGCTTGAGCTCCTTCTCCCTCAGCTCGTTCTTCAGCTGCAGGACGATTTCAGCCTCGGCCTCCGTGCATTCACAAAGCCTACGATCAGGGTTAAAAAACAGGGAGGGGGAGGAGGAGGGGGAGTCACCTCAAGGGTTATACCAAACACACACACACACACACATACGCAGAGTCTGGAGAGAAAATGACTCATTTTAAGGGAACAAGAGAGCTGCAGTTTGAAGGAAAGCTGGAGTCAGTGTTTAAAACAGGACAGGCGGGTACATAAAGGAGGAACTGGGGCACTATGGACAACCAGTCCTCCCATTAACATGAAGCAAAGATCTTTTCAACTGGTGGATCTGAACATGTTCCTAACAAGATGAATATCTGTACTCTATAAGTTGTAGTTATGTTGCATTCCCTCTGTAGTGGGGGGGCTTAAAGAAGAGCTTTGCAAATTGTCACTTTGTTGATATTAATGGGGCAATATGGTTCAATCACATATACTGGTGTTGCCACTGATGTTAAAACTTCATTACAGAACATAAAGTGTACACAACAATACTTTGGTTTATTGAGAGATGATCAGTGTCTGACTCCATAGTTTTAAACACTTCTCTCAGCACTGTCAGCTTCACACGTCGCAGATTGATTTCCATTCCAACTCAAAAATGCACACCGTATCAGCAAGTCACAAATAATTCCATATTAGTCTCAACTAGAGATGCACCGATTGGGAAAATCAAGAGCATACACCGATACCGATGTGGGAAATGAAACTTTAGCCGATTGCAGATTCCAATACAAATGTTTGATAACTTCTTTTGTTGTATGTCTCCCACAACGCCGACGGTTTCTCTCATGTTTGATGTGAAAACAAGTCAGAGTTTGTTCAGCAGGAGACTTCATCTACCCAATATAAAACCTCCTCTCTGTATCAGTGGTCAGGTGTTCTAGATGTCATCATTAAATTGATTTGGAACAACAGAAAAACACGGCTTACGACATCGGTTCATGCAACATTATTTTGCCGATTTCTGTAAACAGGGCTCATATCGGCCAATACCGATGTTGAACCGATACATCGGTGAATCCCTAGTCGCAACAGATCACAGATTGAATGAAGCTTAAATATTCAAACTGTAACTGTTTTAACTGATCTCAGTGGTTTTTGTCACAGATTCTGAGTGTTTGATGTGTTTTTGCTTATCTTACTGTGCTTGTAATCTCGACGGCATTGGAAACGAGGGAAACCTCAGTGTCTTTTCGAGAATAAATAAGGGTTTGAAATGAAATATAAAGTGGGTGCTTTAGTAAAGTCCCTTCATCATGATTCAGTTATTTTCTTAATAAACAGGCAGACATCTTATACAATAACTAAGGTTAGATGCAATGATATTTAGCTAACGTTGCTCGATGTTGCTTTGCTCCTGGTGAATTATTGTTGGGTCTTTGTAGATAATATAACAATGAGTAATGTTTTTTACCGGCTCTTGTGTGAAGCGTCTTGAGATAGCATTTGTTATGAATTGGCACGATGCAAATAATGAATGACTGGTAAGAATCTGTCACACTCGAGTAGTTACCTGAAAATACAGACGCACCCACATGCTCCGCCTATAAAAAAATCCTCATCATACAGGGCATATTGGATGTGAACAGTATACCTGCATGCTTGTTGTCCAAATGTTCATTTTGTAGTGACATAAAACACTCTGCTGTGAGTAACCCTCTTCTCCTTTCTTGCGCCAAGTGATAGTTTTCAAAAAGCATAAATCCAGAGGTGCAGAGGTACTCGAGCAGTTTATAAACCACAGAAATCATTACCTCTGACATGCAGAGTTTACGAGAGTTTATGACGATGCAGAGAAAAAAATCACACCAAGACACCCCACTGCAAATACACACACACTCCTTTGGAGCATGCCACACATTGCCTTTTTTTTTTTTTTTACCGAGATCTGTGCTTGTAGACAACGTGACCATTTTGCTTTTTCTTTGGCGTCCAAATGGGAGAGGACTTGTTATCGCAAAAGCACTTGCTACTTGAACAGCAGGTGGAGATACGTTACAGAAAAGGGATGAGAGGAGAGGATGGAAAAGTGTTTTTTTTTGTTTTTTTTTTAAAAGGGTTAGGTGAAAATGAACAGAAAACAAAACAGAAAATAACAGTGAAAATAATTTAGACCAAAAGAAGAAAGAATCAACAGTTCAGGTTTTTCCAATTTGAAAGTAATCACAAGAGGGGGAGAGGTGAACCTGTGTGTACATGTATGTGTGAGAGCAGATGTAAACACTCACTCTGTGGTGGAGGGTGAGGAGTGCAGAGTGGCCAGGCTGCCTTGTCGGTTGTCGTGCTGCAGTTTGGGAGAGGACGGAAGCGAGTCGGTCATTTCGTCCATTTCATCATGGGCTGACTGGGATTTGGTTTTTCTTCTTGCTGAACGCCTGCTTGAAGGAGCTGCGTAACTGCAAGACACACAAAAAACCCACAAATACACAGAGAGAACGACGTCAATGACGCCTTCCACCGGACCCTATTTCATGCTTCTGAAAGATAAGTTCTGGTGACATCACATCCTGCCAGATCAGGAAGTCACTCCGTGCTGTTTCCAAGCAATAGTCACTGTCTGGTTTAGATTTTTTTAAAAAGGGGGGCAAAAGCAAGCCATAAGTAGAGACGGAAATGAAGGAGACGAGGGGACAAGGCTTTTTAATGAACCTGAAAATTAGGGGCTGCACAAGCAATCAAAATGAACAAGGAGGAAGGGAAGAAGGAGGGACAAACAGGGAGGGAACTGGAAGGGAGGGTTGCTGTATCCATGCTGATGTTTCCAGAAAAGGAGAATAAGGAAGTTTCTCTGAGAGAAGAGGAAAGAGCAAAGATTTAGAAACAGGGCAAAGAAAGGGAGGATGGAGGAATAATCACCACAGCACACACACACACACACACACAGAAGACACACTGGGAACCACTGACCTGAGCGGGGATGGAATCAGCCACCTGAAGATGCAGAACACACCCACCGTTAAGTCACACAAACACACCCCTGAACACCTCACACACCTGTGACACACCCTCTGCTTCATTAAAACTCAATGCTGCTAGCGTATGTGATAGTATGTGCCCCAGAATAATTAGTGGCTAAAATTCATCCTCATGCTGCATAAATCAATTTGACATTTTACCTGTTTTTTTTTTCCTGAGGACATTTTTTACACTACAATGTGTGTTGATCTGATTTTGGTGTTCCTTCCTCATTAAAGCAGCTACAGGTCATGTTGCATGTTTTCCCATACAATGGACATATTTCACAATTCCCTCTCTGTCATTGAAAAAATGTGGCTTAAAGGCTTTATATGCATTTTTTTGATCCAGCAGATGTCGCCCTTGAGCACCAGCATGAAACCAAAACAACTCGCGCTGCATTGTTGCGTTAGCATGCTAATGCTAGCGATCTTTATTATGCTGGTATCTTCACACTGCATGTAAATTTACCTGAAATGAGCGTGATCTAGAAACACAGTTAAGCAGTGAGTACAGTATGTTATTCTTCTTTTCTCTAGTCCCTCAATTAAACAACTTTTATACATGAGGGGAGGAGTCAGCCGGCCGTCCTGGCGATGTAAACAAAGTGAAGATAGGACTCTGAAAACTCTGAAAACATCACAGACAGTGGGACTCGGGTGTTACACCCATTGTAGACAGTCATGACTCACAGAGTTATTTTCAGAGGATATACTTAATTTCTATTACTTTTAAGAGTGAGAAATCGCATATTAAGCTTTTAAGGGAGAACAAGAGACTGTATGAAATCATTTGCTTTGAACTCATCCTTTGGGATTCTAGATGTAACCAGATGAGCTTTTATGGAAACAGAAGTGGCCATGTTTGGATAAGAGGTTGGCTGGATGTGTTCTTAGGACTCTATCTTGGTGTACGCTTCCCCATATGTCAGCATAGGTAGCTACCCTCTGAAGCATACTCTACTTTTGATTTTACTCTAAATGGGACCAAGATAATCAAAAACAACACCGCACTGAATTGAAATATACTCTAAACTCATTAGGAAAATGTTTACATTTCCTTTTAACAGCAGGGTCGTTTTCTTATCTACTTCCTGCTTCTTTATTCAGCCAGTGAAGTCTCCCCCTGCTGGCCATTAAAGAGAGCGCAGCATAAAGGCACTTATAAGCTGTCTGTCCAGAGAACAAGCCTGAGGTTTTCTGTCTTTTGGGTTTTTTTTAAATCATGATGAGTTGAGGAAAAGTTTCATTAGTGACATCTGGCTACCTTCCACACAGAGGTGAGAAGTCTGACATCAACAACAGCTCAAGGCTTCTTCAGCAGATCAGACGCCTGCTGGCACAAAGTCCCTTCCCTTATTAAAGGACCACTCTACCTTTTCATTATACAGTCTCTCATGGTGCCACTCAGTTAGCATGATCTGCTGCTTTCTCTGCTCACTCTTCACATCATCAGTTACCTTAGCTGAACTCTATCCGTGTCTCCACCCATGTGTGTGTGTGTGTGTGTGTACCAAGGCAGAATTTATGCAAATGAATAATTAATTAGTGCCTAAATAAGGGGTTGATTTGCATCCATGAGCCTGACTGGAATATTTTTGGTGTCTCACTTAGCATAGCAGGCTTAGGTGTCATCCTCAGTGGTGAACTTTTGGGTTGTATGCATGCATTTCTTTCCAAGGGCAGGCGTTTTTTTTTTTTTTTTTTGCATTGCAGCAGAGCCTGAAAGTGGCTCTGCTGCACTTTGGCTGAGATGGAACTTCTAATATGTCATGCGTCTGACTCAGGGGGCTGCAGCAAATAAGAGCTCTACAAGCCAGGGACGCCTGAGCTGCTACTGCGGAGTGAAACACACAGAACGGAGAAGAACAGAGAGACGAGCAGAAAGAGAATGTTTTTAAACCATTTCGCTTTTTTTTGTCTTGATTTGTTGGCATTTCTAGACGTTGCCTCAGTATAGAAGGGGAATATATCCGTTTGGTATTACAGAAAGAAAATGTGGGCTCTTTTTGTTTAAACCGAAAAGAGACAGAAGATAAAGATGGATTTTGCAGTGATTAAGCGCCCTCTCAGGACTATTGGCAGCAGCTGTTAAGAGAAGCAAAAGTGTTCCTCTTCTCCCCAGACTTTTCCTCTCGATGCAGAGACACAATCAGCACTTCACTTCTCTCACCTCTAACCCAGTTTTTCAAGTCCAACTTCAGTCTGTGTGGCGTCAGGGCCCACTTTGCTTCTTTCCAACTTAATTTGCATGCTGTTGTGTATGAAACTCAAAGTACATTGCGAACATTAATTGCAGGGTGGTAGACTCCTCTGCACGACCCTCTGTTAGCTCTCACTGTAGATGATACCTCAGCCTCTCAAGCTGACACCATCTACAGCACTGTAACCTGGCAACAAGGATATGATGGAGTGAATAGACGGTGAACAGGATGCCCTACGAAATCAACCTCAGATGTACCCAAACACCAAAAAAAAATCTGCACTGTCAAAGGGTAGAAGTGACTTGATCACAAGAGTGGTGCAACAGCACCACAAAGCTTTATATCACAGATTCATAAATATGGCTTCATGCTAACAGAGACATTTAATCTCTTAATGCAGGCATATAGAGAATATTTAGAGTAGCTTAAATGCCACTGAATTATTCATACGGCTTTGAATTACGATCTTTCAGTAACAAATCCACCTCTTTAACATTGACTTCAAAAGTAAATGTAAAAATATAAAGCTTTTGATGCCTGCTGCAACTGAATGGAGATGTTTGAGACCAAGTTGCATGACCTGAAGATTCGCTGACAAACAGAGAAAAACTTTTGAATATTTGAGTCATTGTTTTATTTGTTGGATCTGTGTGTGTTTAGGTTCTCTGGTATTTTGCACCGGTGAGAAGTTGAGAAGTTGATTTTGTTTAGTTCAGTTTCAGACTTTCTTTGCAGCCTTTGCTAAACACTCTCCACCTACCCAGCTCTTCTTCTTCTTCTTCTTGTCTTCAGCATCCTTTCCCAGACTGCCCATACTGGAGTGACTGGCTGCGCTGTTGATACTGGACATACTTTCTGAAGAGTGTTGCCGTCTAATCCGTAGGTCTAGAAATGACAGATAAACCTTTGTGAGTTTCATGAAAAGTTCAGCGCACCGAAAATGTTGGTCCCTGTACCAAAATGTTTTGGCTGGTGCCATTTTCACGTTAAAGTAAAAGAAAGAAATCCAACAAATAAACCATGGATCTTGTGTCCCTGACCTCACCCCTTGGTTTTCTGAAGAGACCTTTTAAACCTGAGGAGGATCGTTGCCATATTGGAAATGCAATCTCAACTTAACTCTTGATCAATCTAACAACATGCAAAGAGGGAGACCTTAAGATTCCTGGTGAAAAGCTACAACCATCTGTCAGTCAACCCAATCACAGCCCTAATTCACATTAATTTAGAGCCTAAATATCTTCAAAATTGAACAGTTTCTGCTTTAAAAATGGCCATTTTTATTCTGGGCCTGATGGGGATTCTTATGCTTTGGATCCAGCCTCTAGTGGACACTCATGGAACTACAATGGTTTTTTTTAATTCTGCTTCATTTATTCAATACAGGAGATTGCGTCTTGGTCGGTTTTTGTTAAGTTGGAGTTGTTAAGTTGGAGTCCCCCTTACTAACATCACATCTTTAAGATTAAAACTCTTGTCAACACTTGTTCATTAACTACTTTGTGAAACCTAAAAATACATGAAAAGGGGTTTTAAAAAGAAGATCATGCAATTAGTCACTGATAAACAAAATGTTGACAGTGATCAACCCAGTGTTAATCACATATTTAAATTTAGATTATTTTGCATTTCAAAACAGGTTTGGTTAGGCTTTCTTTTTTGGCATTTAAGCTAAAGTTATTTACTTGCTGTTTGGATAAAAAAAAGCCTGCTTTTATTTTGAAAGGAACTTCTGGTAGACAGAAGGTAACAACTATTTGCTACAGATCATAAAATAGTTTAGAATACCCAAAGTGAAGGGTAAAAAAGTGAAACGTTTGATGTCACAAAGTGGATATTTCTTTTGACTTGTCAACTGATCCGGTCTGGGAGTTTTTATATATGAAATGAGCCAATCAAAGGTGCAGCTGGGTCGGTCATTTTCATCACTGTGGCTGCAGGAAGACCCTACTTTACTATGGTGTGATGAAAGGGACAAAAAAGCGTGTAAGTAATGTGTCAACTAAATATGAACGCGTTCAATTTGGACCATAATCACAATGTGGTTAACGAGCTAACGGCAACAGCTCGATAAAGAAGTCAACCAAAAATGATAGCTGCGATGTTTTAACTCATTGCTGAAACTTTGGTTAATTATTTTTAAACGCAGATGTTAATGATCACTGTTATTACCAACCACTGAGACATGATTATTTCCTGAGATTACCTTATTATTTGACCTTTATATTTAACTAGATAATTAACCCATTGAGAACAAGATGTCTTTCAGGAGGGTGACCCGGCCTAGAGGGCAGCAGCACACTTAATAAACATTGCATTATGTGCAAATTGGTTGCTATAAATAAAGTGTAGGTTGCAATCAACAGATTACAATTTAATTAAACACTGTCAATAATGAGTAGAAGTAAGACATGTTTTCATTAGCAGTGACTTTACAGCACTCTCATGCAGCTGTAGGAGAGTGAACAGTGAACAGTGGGGCTGATGATAAAAATGTGTGCATGAACTATATCCTGTGTGTCTTTTTAAAGAAAGTTTGACACCTGTGCAACAATGTCAGAATGCCACACAATGATGCATTGAAATGGCTTTATTGTTGCCTTGACAGTTTCAAGGACACTTTAACTAAATGTGTGTGTTCGAATGAAATTTAGTGTTCAGGTATTTAGCCAGCCTTCATTACGCAGGAGGTGGAATACTGGAAAAGGTCATATCACAAAACTGATTACCCGTCTCATTTAGGCTGTTTCTTTGACTAATCGAGGGATTCATAAAACCGACCAATGAAACTCAAGCACATCAAGAATGGGGAGATTAATTCCCTTAGGGTCCAATCAGGCAAAAAAAAAAAAAAACATCCAATCATGAAACAGTGGTGCATAATAAGACAGTTTCAGTCCCACATCCCCCTGCTGGTGTGTTCATTACCTTTATGGAGGTGGTCTGGGCCATTGAGCGCCACCTGGATGGCTGTTTGTGCGTCTGTGTTCTGGGTCTTCAGCGTCTCTATCGTCTCCCGCAACTCTACCAACTCAGACTCCTGCAGTGAGAGAGAAAAGATCGTTATGAAACTAACTATGACGCACCAAAAAACTGTTCTTGTTCAGGGCCAAATGTGTTGGACTCAAAAATGAGCTTAGTCACTAGAAACAAATCTTAGATTTGGCATTGGCATTGCTTTTTTGGTGGGAGGAAATGACAGCCAAAAAAAAAGGGAGGTGTATATTCAACTCTCCCTGTGGATTTGCCCAACCCCAGCACCACCTGCTCAGAATTAAAAAAAAAAAAAAGCTCAGCTCTGTTGAACCAACACGATCAGATAAGGAGGAGTTTCCTATGCTGCTTTGCCCAAAACCCCACTGAGGGCTGCAGATAGGGTTTCTGCTTTAATTAAAAGTTGGGACAGCCTTGTTGAACAAAGACATCCCACCAGATCCCGGCCTGCTTTAATTTATGGGGGATTAAAAAGCTGCCAAGGCTCGTCAGTATTCTCTACGTGTTTATGTGTATAACAGAGGGAAGCATTCATGATATGATGTGGTAGGGATAGATCTTTTAACATATTGCTGCTGCTGTGTGATCCCTGTATCAATGTCTTCAAGGCGTTTCCAATACCTCCATGTTGATAAAAAATGGCTTTGTAAGACAGCGGAGAAAAAACAGCCCCTGTTCTACATTTATTAAGAGGCGTTTATTATGGTGAGAAAATTGGTTTTAAACTGTTTTTGGCCTTTAAATTCATGACATATGCCTTGACCTCCATGTAAAGTAAAAAAAGTTGGTATATGTTAGAAGTAAAGTTCAAGAAACATCACAAGGCAACTTCTGTGGAATGAAAAGCTTTCACATGAACCAGGAACTGAACTTTAAAGATAAAAAAAAACAACCATTAATCCTAACAGGCACTCTCCACTATGTTACTTCCAACAGCACTATTTCACTGTCAACCCTTTGCCTGTTTCTAATCATTTCTATCCTCGCTGTAATCCTTTTTTTTTGGTCTCGGAGTTCATACACAGTACATTTCAAATTCAAGACTAAGCTCTTGTACCTTTTGTTCGGCGGTCATGGTGAGGCTCTGCAGGCGGCAGGTCATGTTACTCAGGCTCTTCTCGAAGGCGGCCACCAGGTGAGACTGCAGACACACAGAGAGAGAGAGAGAGAAAGAGAGAGAGAGAGAGAGAGAGAGAGAGAGAAAGCGAGAGACAGAGAGAGACATGAATACAGGCTTCAGCTTCAGTCACAGTAACATTACTTTTACTGGAAAAACTATAATGAAAGAACATTTTAAATGAAAAACTTTGTAAGATATTAAACCAAATATCTCGAAAGATTAATTTAAATAAAATGTACAGAGTGAAATGAACACATCTTAAAAGGTCCCTTTGCATCAAACCATATCCACATTAAAAAGTTTGGAAATAAAATCCCTCTCTTTTGAAGAAAACGCCCACACACAGAATTAATGAGTTGGTCTGCTGGTTTGTGTCGATAGCTTTAAAGTGATTTTGTCGCTTAGGCACAAAGACGACTGAGGAGCCAAACAAGACTGGATGTGGAGAGTTTGTTTGCCCAAAGTATGACAGCTGAAACTGTGACCTCCTGAAGAGGTTCCCAGTGTGCTACAAAGAGCTGCTCATGGGGTATCCAACTTTGAGTCACTCTCAGAATTCAAGGACGAGTGCCCGCTAAGCGTGTTTGTTTGACCAGAGAATTTAATTGAGAGTGTTTTGATGACTTCACTGTTGCTTTTTTTTACGCGAAGTGTGAATTAACCGTCATTTTTCCTGGACTGAGTTAACAAAGAGAAGTCCTTAGAGAAAGACACAGATGTCACATAGCAACGGCAAAACCCTCCATGCCTTCACGTGTCACCTGAAGACACAGAGGCGACACGCTGAAGGATGGAGAATGCTCTGCAACGTTACGCCATCTGCTCTGCTGAACCCTGGGTGTCTGGATGTGTATCTAGCGCTTCTTTGTGCATGTGTTTTCTCAATGTATGTTTATGTCTGGGTGTCTGGTGAGGCCTTATGTTCACGGTTGTGTGTCCTTGTGCAAAAAAACCCTGTAAAAAATCTGTGTGTAGTTTGCGCGTGTGTGCTGCCAGCTCATCCTCTCATCCTTAGCGAGAGAGACCCTGAGACACCTGTCAGGCCTGGTGTGTCGCAGAGAGAGGTGGGCAGCCTGCCCAGACACATCAGAAAATCTCTGCTTCACACACACACACACACACACACACACACACACACACACACACACACACACACACACACACACACACACACACCACTTTTGAGGACTTCCTTCTACTGAATTTAACAGCAGTTATTCCAGAACATGCAAACAATCCCCTGAACAGCTCCGTTTCTCTCCTCAGAAGAACTTTTAGTATCTTATGAATCTAGAAACAAAATCACAAACAGAAGCCCTCTGAGCTGCCTCCTCCACTCTGTGTCCCTGACTGAATCAGCAAAGGTCTTGACCTTTTGAAAATGCCAACTGTTCCATCTCATCCCTCCAACGCTACATCTCTTTCCAATTCCACCTGTGAGCTCAGACTCAGGCCCCCACTGCCCACCTGTCATCCCAGTGGGAGGTGCTGATCAGGGTCCAAACTCGTCCCAAGGCTGACTCATCTGTACTGCTTCTGGGGCTCAGCCCAAAGAGCCCCGCTTACCCCCTGAACCCCCCCTGTTTTTCAGCCCCGTCGTTTTAATCCTGGGGTCTTTTGGTTCAACTTGAAAGTGGGCCAAACCAGCTAACTGGACGTGGCACAATCACAGCTCCTGAAGGCTATTCCAGAGAACAGACGATATGAGGGATAATAAGAACAAAGAGAAGAGCAGGGAGGGGTAGGGAGAGCTGAGCAGACAGTGAGACGAGACAAGGTCATGGGTGACACAGTGAAGGGTGAGTAGAAAGAGGAAGGAGATTGAGAGAGGGGAAGAGGGGTGCCTGTTTGAACTCCTCACCCCCGATTTAATGTCTGTCCAGACGGGAGAATGTATCCGCTTCACAGGCTTAGACAGAAATACTGAGTGGATTAATAGCTGCATTTGTTTTTCTTTATGCCTTTGACAGGATGTTGGTTTCACTCATTCTGCTCCATTTCCACAGAATTATAGGGAAAAATGTCATTTAATACTTAACTTGCAATCCAGTTAAAAATAAACACAACTTTTTTTAAATTAGGGTCATGGATTGTATCTAATAAGACATTGCAGGAGAAAATGTTTTAAGTTTGAGTCTTTTTCTAATGACCAGGGTATGTAACGCTTTTACAACGCACCTACACATTCACACACTGATGGTTGCTATGGAAAGTGACTATTAGAAGTAACTAATCCCATTCATACACATTAACACACCGCTGACGAAGCAGCCAATCATTTTTACATCGTTATGACTTCAAGAAAACTGTTTTCATGGTTAAACTTTAAGGACTGTGTTCAGGAAAAAAAAAAAAAAACCTTTTCAAAATCAGTCCAAAGTGCACGAAGTTAAAGTCAAAACAAGATCAGAAAAAAGCCTTTTAGTTTACTCTCCATTGCATAAGGGTATCAAAGAATAAATGGCAAGGGAATTAGAGTTACGTAATGCTACATTAAGGAATCCCGATGTCTCTTTCCGAGCGGTGACATTTTGAAAATGCCATTTGCACATCACAGCCTGTCTGTGTGTTTAAAGACAGAGTATCAGTAAGTATGTTTGCTTTTAAAGAATCTTCACCGTAACCGTTAAGCCGAACACTTGTACGTTAAAATGTATGTATTTCTGCATGGCTTCAGGACCATCAATGATTCAACAGTGTCACAGAGAGTGTCTGCCTTTGAAGCGTGGGTGGAGAACATGCGAGTACATTTTTCATTCCCCACTGGGAGGATAAGATGAGCTTATAGCATGAGCAACCCGCCATGCTGTCATGTACATACAGTGTGAAGCAGCTCCAGTACAACACAGCCAGAGAGAGGTTTTTTTTTTTTTTTTTTTTAAACCCAAGCCTGGAACATTAGAGAGGGAGCTGTAAAGCACATATGTTGTGTAAACGTTTGCATAAGGCTGAGCACAGTCAGGCATGACACTGGTCAACTTTCCTTTGCTGTTTTTTGTGCCAAATGACCCGGTGCTAACGTCCTGTCAATATCAACAACTGAAAATGAGACACACTTGAGTCTTAAGGCCCTGACACACCAAGCAGACAGCAAAGAAATAGTGGCAACAAAGGCTGCCTGTGGCATTGCCTCACGTCGCCTCTTGTCTTGGCCATTCAACAAGTTGAATCTGCAAAAAAAAAAAGGCAGACGGGGGCAGACGAGTAGCGACGGAGCTGGACACACCGCAAAAACTATGGCAACGATCATTCATCCCAGGTCCAACTAGGACCGACGGCCGTCGATCTTCTTGGTGTTTACACATATAGTACCTTGGGTTAAATCTTATATCTCTTATATAAGGCTACAATAACTGCAGCATCATTTCCTCACTGGCTTCAGGTTGATAACAGCCCTGACTTTTATCTGAAACCATCTGGTCTAGTTCGCTGCAGAAGACACTCAGATCCAGGAAAATGTAAGGAGAAAGGTCTTATTCCAAGTTACTGTAGTTATGAACACTTCCCTTTTTTTGCAAAGGTCAACATATTCCGCACTGAGCTTACACAGACATGTACTGGAATAGTGTAGAACAGAAAACTAAGACCAAACAGATATCCATGTTGATCATCAGATATGATTTAAAGGCAGCCAGAAAGTACGCAATAATAATAATAATGAACAGTCTAAAAAACAATGCAGCTTCATTATCCTGCCTGCAACTTAATTTGTTGGTTTATGTTGGTGATGGCTGATGTAGCCTTTAGCTGCTAGCCTCAAGTGGAGATGTGGAGCAGGTTTTTCAAACTCCACACCACAAGATTGTGTTAGTATCAAAGACCTGTGATCAGATTGTCACGACCAAAATAAACCAAAGGTTGTTTGACTGTTCCTGCACAACTCTTCCCTCATCTTCAAGTTTTCCTGGGGTTTAGCCTTCAGTTTCAGCTCTGCATAACTTTATGATCAAAGCGTCAGACCAAGGCAAAGGGTCGCCTGACTCCACACTTGATCAGGCACTTGGTATTGTGGGTGGGTGGGTGGGTGGGGGGGGTGCTGAGCCTTGTCCCACTCTGGAGATTGTCGATCTATCTGCATCTCAGCTCAGAGGAAGCTCCGTCTGGGGGTTGGAGGTCTCTGTATCTCTCTCAGTTGCACCCACGCATGATGCACTGAAGTCTAGATTCACTTATCCTCATCTCCCTGTTCTCTGTCTGCGCCCGTCTGTCTCTATTTGATTCTTCCTGCTTGGTTGAACCTGGGAGCGGCTCCAGTCCCCCCCCCCCCAGCCGAGACAAAAGCAAAAAGACAATCCTCGCTGTGCCACAGACACACAAGCATACACAAGAAAACATCCCATCTAAGGAAAAGCAAAAAAAACAAAAAAAAACAAAATCAAACAAGCAAAAGCCTAAACACACACACACCGTGGGTTCAAACACGGAATAAGGATTTAGTGGGCGTCTTAAAGATTTATATTCCTTCCAGAGCAGCGATAGGCAACACTTTCCATAAAAAGCTCTGGCGGCAGGTTATCATGCAAATGAGCTCGCAGTTTTGACTGCTTTCTGAAGAAAACAAACTCACGTTGGCAGACAGCTGAGACGTCAGGGTCGCCACCTTCTCCTGAGACGCGTCCAGCTCCCGACGCAGCTTTCTGATTTGCTGGTTGGGTGAGAGAGAACAAAGGTAAGTTAAAGTTAGAAAGCGTAAAAAAGAAATCTGACTGATGGTAAGTCAAAGAGATGTGAAAGTTGCATCTCCCATGTTGATAACTTTGATACAGTTACATGATAATAGTGTGTGGAAAGACACTGGGATGAAGTGTGAACACAAAGTGTGGGGGATTACCGTGGAATTTAGGACTGTTTGGCCCTTGATTGAGAAGAGAAGAATAAAAAATTAACACTATGTTGCATTTCTCCATCGGACAGGATGTACTGATGTGGCTGGAGGGAAAGAGGTTATCACAAGCCACAGCACTGGTTTCCTCATGGTTAGATTTCAAGCAGCGATGCAAAGACATGAAGGTAAAGGATCCCTGACATGGGTCAAACAGTAATTGCAAACATCTGATATAGTTTCTTAAATAGTTTTCAGTTTAGCAAATTGGAGAGAAGAATTTGCTCTCTGTCTTGCAAAGATCTTCCTGCTGGATTTTAGTGGCCTTCTGCGTCAACCTCGAC